GCTCCAAACGTTGTTTAATGAAGTCGAATGCATGACCCATCCCTCAAGGGTTGATCAACGTCGAGAGCTTTATCGTTTATCCTTTTATGGATAATCTACGTATATTCTTTAAGGTGAAATGTAAAAGAATGCAATCAATGGAAGAAGACCGAACATTGTTGTAATGCCCATGCGAAAAGCGCATCTCCTCGGCCTCCACCTCTATAGGACCTCTTTTCTTAGATTTCATATGTGAAGAATAGAGAGGTGGAGAAGTTGCCTATAGGGGGTGTCACAAAAACTGTAAGAATTAGAACTGGTGCGGAAGCACCACTCCCTCCACATCGTAAAGTTATCCAGCTCTGAAGTAAAACTTGCAAAGATTTTAGTTTCCACCTTTCCGGGAAGAAAATTTGTCTGTCCTATGTTTTCACCAGTAATTTTCGTTCTTTGCTTGATTTCTTAGTCTCGTCATGTTTCCGTTGCTGATCACGTGCGTAGCAGAATGACTCGGTGGCCATGTTTTAACAATTAATGGGAATTCGTTATTCCTCCTTGCAATGTTCTGTGCCGAATTTCCACTGCTTTTGAGCTTGCAGCAGTATTTCTATTTAGCAGTTTACAGTACCTGTGAGCGTTGTATTAAAGGTTTTGATCAAATCATACGAATAGTACCTTAACAGCAAACAATATTTGCATTGCTCTATGAAACGGTTTTCTATGATTTTTTTTCTGTTTGTACACTCACCTTCGTTGTGCATTGCATGCATTGAATTCGATGCACACGCTTTGAATTTCTCGTGGTCTTCCACGCTCGTTTTCCTAAATTCGTACTTTATAATTCGAGCTCACAAAGCTTGTCAACTTTTCCGTGCAGGGAATTGTGATGTGATGCCAGACTTCTCTATGAACAGGTCAATCTAATTGAGGACGTCGCCCTAGCATGGCTCGCACCGGATTTCGCCGACAATCGACTTGATGCAAATTCAACGGCATTCATAGGAAAGGCAAAAAACCTTAAGAGGCACACAAACTCACGCACAAAAAGTTCGAAGACTTTCGTGGATGGTAGGAGCGTGAAAACGAAGTGAATACGGGAAATGCTGGAGTCGGTACAATCAGCTATGTCGGGTCACTTAAAAAATCGGATTTACTACATAGTTTGTAAGCATTTTCTGCATATCTCTGTGTTTCTCTGTGAGTTCTTCCATACTCTTTGGGACAGTTAAGTCTCTTGTATTTAGTGAGAAGTCTTCCACCATATAAGATAGTGCCACCGGCGCATGGTAATCTGCTTTCGTTCATACGCAGTATTCTTTTAGTTCGACATCCTTCTTTAAATTCACTCACTGGGTTCGCTAACCATGATTCATCACGGCGGCTGCCAAGGAAATAATAGTTGATTGGTGGTCAGAATCCGGACGCTTTTTTATTTTATTTATATGACCCGTCTTCACGTCTAGTGTACGGATCCAAGCACTTCTCGCGTTCAGTTCCTTTCCTGTCATCAATTTTCCACAAAGATCTTCCAACTTTACATGTGGCTTCGGTTGCTGCTTGAGGATTTCTATTTCATCTTGAATGTTGTAGAATGCTGCTCGACCGTTTCTCCCTGGAGCCCTGAGGTACCTGGGCTGGAGCGTTCCCAATTGGACTGCAGAGAGTGATTTTTTCCCAGACAAGTCCGGTAACAATTTCACGACCGCGGAGGGATGAGAGGCTTGGTTGGGCCGGAGCGGAATCGGACTAGCACCATGCTCGTGATGACCGATATCACTATCACTGTGCTATCCGCCTCTGAATTTGAATGTTATAGGCCAGTTCCTTGCGAGTCCAGATCCTCGATAGCAGTTCATGTGAAGTGGATCGGTTGCCTCTTATTTGGCTGCATAGATGCATTTCTGTGAATTATTTTTCTCTGATGTTCTCTGAGTCGATGCATTTCTGTGAATTATTTTTCTCTGATGTTTGAGATATAGTCGTCAAAAAAGCAAACGGATAAGAATAGGAGAGTGGCCAGTCGTTGGATGCGGAAAGCACTCAAGAAATGAAACGGTCTGCAGGCATTTGCCTTTAGGTGGGAAGAAGCGGGGAAGATGCTATAAGAAGTTATCAAGTTGCCATGGCTCCAAATCTGCTGCGATGCCTAGCAAGCAATTCAGCGCAAGCTGCAGATATAGTGAACATTCTCTTTAGCTTGTTCCAATAATACGCTACAGATTTTAAAGAGTAAGCTGTACGTAGAAAAAATGGAAATTATGGAAGAGTAGACAGTAAAAGAATTATTTCTGAGCACAATTCTTCGTATTACTTGATCAATGCCGAGGTTAATAGAAAGTCGGTCGTGGGAGTTTCTGAGCACAATGTTTAGAACATCAGTGAAAGATTGCGGGAATGAGAGTATTGTTGATGACCTGTATGCTTCCGAAGTAGCACCACGTAGAAGCGCACTGGTGAAAGACACTTTTAGCCGCCGGTGCTTCGACATGCAACCAGAACGAAGATCAAGACTTGAGAGGAAGTGTGGCTTTACTTCACATTAGAGAAAAGTCAGTTCTGATTCCCAGTACTGGCTGCAATAACGACAGTCTTTATGGATTCATTCTGTACAGTAAGCATGTAAATCGCCTTCGGGAATCAATAATACGAGAAAACTCGTCCTATTAACCACTTCTTTCGCAAATTCTGATTTGTAGAAAGTCTCTTTCTTTGACTGAGTACAGGACTTACCACAAACAACTCTGTGCGATAGAAAAAGAGTGTTTTGATAGAAAATATGTCGAAATCGGTGGACTGGACGCAAGCGTGCTGAAAGGTCTGTGGACTTCCTCAATTTGATTGTCACTACTAAACGTTTACTTGCATGAAATGCATGAGATAATTATGGTGCATTCTGCAGTTCTTTACTTATGTTTGCGTAACTTTTCAAATGTTCTATTTTTCGTTGCTGCCCATTCACATCATCTCGTTCGGCCTCGAAGGTGTCTCGTAATGCCTAGTTGGTATAAGTATTTTAGCGTATCCTTCTCAAAAATGGTTTCTCGGAGTATTCACCCAAGCGTTTCGAATGTTACGGTGGTAAGTTCTGAATCAATTATTAATGGTTACCTTTTCCTTTTACCTTTCTAACGATATTTATTGATTGGAGGGGTGATTAACGTTCATTGCCGAATTCCATCGAATCTCGGCATAGAAAGTCAATATTTTCATTGATAAGCTTACACGAAGTTCTAACGATTCTTTATTATGGATAACGTTCTACGGTTTTGTCTTTGATCTCATGAATCGTGCGATGGTCCACTGCACTCAATTCGACTCGGTGTGACAACTATGGCGATCAACATCGAAGGAACTGCGAGCTGCTGTGGGCACACGACTTGAATCATCGTGGCTCTGAAAAAGAGGAAACTGTCGGAACATTATCCATGATCGAGATTTGTAACACCGTTTTGTAAACGTAAACTGTAACCTACCAAAACAAGCAAAACAAATAATTTGGCTCTGTGAAGCGTTTCTTGGCGTTCCAAATATCCATACTAAGCTTTTAGCCCTTTAACTGTAGCGGAGTTTTGCCGCAATATCTCCTTGTTTTAACATAAAAACAAATTTTTCTCTGCAAAACTGCTACAGCACTTAAGTTCAGAGTGAGCAACTTCTCAAACCTGGATTACACTTGCGTGTATACAGTGTTTAGAATCCCATTTATGCATCTTATCTCTTGTATTACTTGTATCACCTGTTGTCCCGTTGATCGTTGAGAGTGATTCCAATCCTAGATTTTTTCCTGTCGCATGTAAGAGTACTCTAGTGAGTTCTGCTCGCTGTTGCGACTTTCAGTATCATATCCTTCTGCCAAGGTTCTCGCGAAGAACTTTGACCACTGAGTCGGTGGTCTTTCTGCAGTGCGTTTGAGATCTCGACGAATTCACTTGCTAACGGCTCTTGTCCACCGATTGTCGTTCATATGCGTTACTTGCCCGGCCCACCTTATTTTTGATGGTGTAGCATAGAGAATGGCATCTTCGATCTTAGATCGTTGGCGTAGGTTGGAGCCTCGGATCTTCTTTATCATTTTCGTGATACCGGAGATCCACAACATCGTCTTTCGACTGCGCGTCCTTTAACGCTGAGTTCTATAACTCTTTTATACTGCTGCATCGAGTATAAGGGCCTGATGCATAGGCTAAGATAAGAGGAATAATGGAGTCGAAAAGGTGGGCACAAAGTAAGACGTTTTTCGTTCTCCTCACTGCATTCTCAACGGTCCTGAAAGATCTCCAAGTCACCCTCTTACTTCTGCTAAACTCTCAGCTCCAAGCTTGATCATGTTGACTTCCCAACCTAGATAGACGTAGCTGCTCTATTCGAAGACAACCTCTTCGTTGAGCATGAATGGAGCATACGAAACTAGTCCGTTCGTCAAGAACATCGTTTTCGTGAGATTTAGTCCAAGAACAACATTCCACCGGCGCTATAAAAGTCCGGAAGCATTCATTCTGTTTGTCTATTGCTTGTTATTATAAGAACGATGTCAACGGCAAAACGATGTTAGTGTAGTTGCCAACCATCGACTTTCAATCTCATGCTGTTCCATTCCAATGTTCGCACAGCGTTCTCGAGGTGGAGGCAAAATCGTTGGAAGTGAGACGGAGCGGTCTTCTGTACTCTCGCGATACTTAATGAGTCTTGTTATCATGTGGATGTGGTCCAGCGTGCTGAATACTTTTCGAAGCCTTGATTGCTCACATGGCTGCCATTCGTCCAGTGTTCTGTCAAACCTGTGTGAGATGACTCGAGCGAAAAGTTTGTAGAGGACAGTCAATGAGCAGATTAGGCAATAGTTGGCCCATCTCGTGGAGGTCATCCTTCTTGCACATTAGCACAGTCTTGCGTGTCTTCCATTAAGTAAGAAATTTACATTTAACGTGTGAAGAGGTCGGTCAGTCTATTTATGAGAACTGGCACAAGGTTTCTCAGGTGTTCAAATCTTACCCTGTCCGGAACTAGTGTTTCTCGATTCTTCACAGACGAAATACTATGCTGGATTTCCGAATAGAGAACCGGTGTACGGCATATCCATCCACCTTTATTTCATATGAGGGCAGCGAGAGGTGGCAAAGGAAGAGATCCGAGTAGTAATCGTGAATGGTTTTCTCCATTGCCTTTCTGGAAGCTGTAACTGTTCCGTCTAGGCGTCGGTGTGCAATCATCTTGGTTTTGCAATTGGCGAAGCTTCGGCGGGCTTGGCGAGTGCTTTTCCCCACCTCTGCAGCTTCGACCATTACTGCTGCTCTTTTCTGTTTAACATCTTCTTTTATCTCCTGTCTGCGTTGTTTTGCAAGTTGAGACGTTAGTTCGCGGTTGCCTGCAGCTCGTGCGATTCCACGCTGGCGTATCAGCTCGAGTGTTTCCGGAGACAGACGTCTCTTAGTGACCTCCGAACTCTCGGCTTTCATAGCGCTAACGTGAAGATGTTGAATGAGCCGATCGTATTCTTCAGCATTGTTATCGAGAACAGCATCTTCCCAACACCCGACTAATGAAATGAATAAATCCCAATTTATGGTGGTTTTGAGACTTCGCCTTTCAAACCTAACCCCTTTCTTTCCATTTCGCAATAAATGAAACCTTGCACTAAGAAGGCGTTGATTTGATTTCGTTTAGAATTCTAGAACAAAGCCTATATTTATCACAAATGCTCTTGATCGTCATGATAAACTCAGACAGCTGCTCACCCTACTTGTTCTGTTCCAGTTGGTCTCAATGTGATATTCTTCAGACGTTCTTCCTGGTCAAATCTTAGCGTCAGAATCTCCAATGATGACCTTGAAGAATGTGAGGTCTTCTCTATAGTAGAACTTCTCCAAGTCCATATAGAACGCTTGGAATTCTTCTTCGTCATAGTTTGATGTCGGCGCGTAAACGACGAAGATTGTCAAAGCCAGAATTGATCCACGTCTTTTTAATCGTAAACGTCCGATTCGGGTTGTAAGTTGTTCAAATAAATCCATGTTTATGGACAAACTCGTGTTGACGAGAGCGCCGACTCCTCTACTGTTGCATGTTCCCAGGAACAGTTATTCTCCGGTGTCATAGGCGGCGTTGAAGGTGTGGGGTCTTCCCTTCTCAGCCAGTGCGATGACATCATGCCTTATCCTTCTTGCCTGCATGATCACGTCGTCGATCGAGGACTTCGATGCAACTGAGCATGCATTGTAGATGCAGCTCGTCACCTTACTACTTCAAGATTTAGGCAGCCTAGAAGAACTAAAATTTTAGCGGTTTTTCCGTGCTTGTCCTACCTGCCGGCGTGTTGAGAGTTTTCTCTGGGTGAGGACAGTGAGGTCCATTTGCTTTTCTGTGTCTGACATTTGATACACGCGTATAGCTTGCTGAGCTCTGAACGTTGGCCCTGTACTTGCAGTTTTTCCAGTTTTCCAGAGAAGAGGAGCATATTCGATGGAAACGACTCCTATCCACCTCTCTTGTACTACCTTGTCACTTTATTGCAGGTTTTTGGCTGAACTGACTTGCATAATATAATAAGCATAAGCGGGAAGACACTTTTACGCGAGTGCACGAGCATATCTTCGTGAACACAGAACGAGTGTGTCAAATTTGCGCAGCAGAAACAGGGAACCATTTGCCTGCTCTATCATCCATCTGCGTCTTAAGGAAACATAACTTCGCATTTATTCTGCGACTAATCCCTATACTCCGACTGGGATAATGTCACATTTCCTGGCGACCCACTGGCATGCAATCTTTATATGAGGGAAGTCTGTGGTGTCTATCCGATATCTGGATTAAACTTGCGCGTGTAAATCTTATCCATGAATTCAGAAGCTTTCAGAACAAAAGAGAAAACTTTTATGACGCTACTTTTAATCTTTTTCCAGACAAGCAGTAAGTCAGATAAGCACCGCAACCACAAAGGCATGTCGTGGCCGACGGCAGCGATATTCATCATCGGTGACATGGTAGGTGGCGGAATGATTGCGCTACCCATAGCCGTTGTCAATGCCGGTCAGTTCAAAGTTTTATCTTTCGGAAAGTAAAAGGATAAGAGGATAAAGCTCTTGGCTTCACTCAATTTTTGAGGGATGCGCCATGCAGTGGCCTATGTTTGGGTGCATATTTGGCCTATACAATGACTCGTGGTGGCCTATCGATGTATCGAGTCAGCGTTGCTATTCTCCTTGACAAGACCAGCACTAATTTGCTAACACTGGAGAGATAGAGGGCTTGGTAGGCCTAGAGTGCGTGATCGGCCGCATGTGTGTTTAACGGAGCTTCTGGCCACTATGCTGCACGCGTCCCTTGTCCGAAAATAGATTTTAGAGTGGTCAGCAACTGACTGTATACCCAGCGATGATAAGTAATGTTTAGTAATACAAACACTTATCTAGAGAGGAGAAGCGAAGTACCCGCATGGTATGGTAGTGAATGCGTTTTTGCAAATATTTCAGCACCATTGTGGTTGTATTTATTTAGGTCGTTATTATTTTTATTTACTCTTCTACATGAGCCATCTTCAAATCTACTGAGTGGATACCAATACTTCTTGTTTTTTTTAAATTCTGTTTCTTGGTATCCACCATACCCGAAGACCCTTCACCTTTTTAAATGTAGGTCCAGTTGCTGCTCGAAAATTGTCGCCCTCTTCATGAATCTTTTTAAATGATGGTCGAGCACGACAGCGCCTACCAATTTTTCTACACTGCAATGAGGAGAGGTCTGGTGAGCCTAGCATGTGGCTGAACAAGCACCTTACTCGTGATGAACGACGTCACTTACCACTGTCTATCCGCTCCATCTTCAAGAATTGAGAATTGTAAACAATGTGATGAGTTTGCTAACACATAGGTTTGTCCACTAGTTTCGTTCGAGAACTGTTGTGCTTGCTTGATTCAGCAAGATTCGACAACTAGTAAGGGAAAAGGTCTCCAGAGCTGTCCATACTCGTTGCACCACAATTTCCTTTATGACTGTTGAGTATCATTCGATTCAGGCTACAAAGTTAGAAATAAGTAATAGACTACTAAATTTTATTTTAGGGCTCGTTCCCGGCATTACCCTCATAATTCTTGCAGCGATTTTCACTGGCTATACAGGTATACAACTTGGAGACAACTGGACTCTGATGCAGGTTATCAACAGTTAAACGTCAAGAATAATTTGTGTCGAATTCGCCACAATGTTGAATCGTTCCAGAGACGATGGCCTGAGTACAAGAGTCACTGCCGGCGACCGTACCCTGAGATGGCATATAGAGCCATGGGGCAAAAGGCGAAGTGAGCTAATTTTTAACAATAAGTTAGAAACGCGAACGGTGAAACGTGATCTCGTAAACGATGAGCGTTTTTGTGTAGTAAAGTCTTCTGAAGAGTAATAAAAAATCACTCCTGTTGTATTAAAACTAAAACTTATTGTCTTTAACTATGTAGTTTAATAATGCAGGTTTGCTGGAATTCATCCGCAGTTGTTGGGAAAGTTAGTGCTCTAAGCGTTGTCCCATTCCGTTGTGCGCTATTTTTTACCCTTCAAATTTAGTTTAGTAACTTTTGTTTAGCTGGGTTTCTAGGAGCATCATTAGCAGCGACTCACTTTAGCACATGTTTTTTCACTGGTAATTGACTGATTTCATCTTCAGGTTGCCCAAATCCTATGTGCTAATGCACAACTTGCTGAATCAGGAATCGAGAGGAAACGATGCTAACACGATTCTTTTTATTTTATCTCAAATTCTTAATTCCACCGTGAACCAGAGCATGGAAAAAAATCGTGGCTAATGAAACTACACATAAAAGCGGGAAAGCAGATAGCGACGCAAAATTGGTTCACGATCTGGTAGATACTAAAGACTCTAATATCGATCTATAACATCTAAGTCGACTAGGGACCTGGCACTGAATAAAATAAATCCACTTTATCGGGTAAAATGAAGAAAAATGGAGTTGAATAATTGACGACCGAAGACGTTAACCAGTTAGGTGGTGCGTTTCGAAGATTTAAAGCCCGTTGCAGGTACTTGGTGGCGTTCTGTCTCTGTTTAACGCAGTTCGGCATGGTCACGGTGCTGCTGCTGCTTGCCGCCAACAACGTGTCAAATCTGCTCACTGCACTCTTCGGGATGCAGATCAACTTCTGCTACGTGATCCTAATCATTGGCTTAGTTCTGTGGCCATTTATAATGCTAAAAAGCCCGATGCACTTCTGGTGGGTAACAAATGAAAGAAAGAACAGATCGAAAAAATTCTCGCTACATTTCTGCAATCATTTACAGGCATGCTGCAGTCGGTGCTGCAGCATCGAGCTGTTTAGCTGCCACTCTTTTCATAATTGGAGCAATCCATGATTCTCCAGCTTGCTCGCAGGTATTTTTAACAAGCTGTCATTTCCATCGTACTTTACTAAATTCTCAGGTCGTCACCTACCCGGAATTTTCCCTAAAGAACTTCTTCCTCGCCTACGGTACCATCGCTTTCGCTTATGGTAATCGTTTTTGTTTTCAGTTTAACCATTGAACGTGAATAAGGCCTTTACACAAGGTGTTGTCACTCATGTGTCTTTATTTGGGCAGTTGTACCATGCCTTCTCAGTCTGGCTGTAGACCAGAGACGTTCCGAAAACTTCTCATTGTCGAACACGCTTGGAAATTGCTAAAATTTCTCTGCAAGCAATCCTAGGAAAAGTAGGAAAAGCTTTCGCAACGAATTTGCTTACGAACTCTGGACATGCTTTGACGTCTGTTATGAGTATTTGGCATTGTTTTCAAATTAAGGTGTAAATGTGGTCAATTTCAGAACGGCTCTCTTTTTAGGAGGTCATGGAGCTTTTCCCACTATTCAGCACGATATGACTAAGCCTTTTCGCTTCAATCGAGCAGTGTGGGCCAGCTACATCCGTATGTGATCATATCATATTAACATCCCACTATTCAAAACTACCATATGAATAGAAGATGCTCTTAAGAAGTTGCACTGATAAGATATCAACTCAAAAGGGAGGATTATATGAACGTAGTTAAATCGAAGGTTCTAGTTGTTGCAGACGATAATGTTTTTGTCATCTTGGTGAAATTTACCATCGGCATCAATTTCAAGGACAATTTAAGTACACTTGTCCTCAATCTATTTGCCTTAAAGCCTTTTTTCTGGAATAACTTCGTGAAATAAAGACCGTAAAAATAACGGTTCAATTCCAACGAAGTATAAAATTGTGTTAAGATGAACTTTTGGTTTGAAATCCTAAGTGGATAATCGACACTCCACCTCTACTAGCATCTGTTCTTTAAGTTTATCAATGCCCTATGAAAAAATAAAATCAGGAAAACATTATGATTCCACTGGAACAAACGAACAAAAGAAGGAAAAAAGGAAAGTAAAAGTGGAAAGCAAATGTTTTGGTTTACAAAAAACCATGAGAACAAGTGACTCTTATTCGGGTCAGAGAACCTCCCACTGGACCCGAAAGCTTTTATTGATCGTTTCTCATTTCAGTACAGCTAGATTCCTGTTGTTCGTAGTAATCCTTGATTGCAGTCATCCTCATTGTGTACATCGCCGTCTCCATCGCAGGCTACACGGTGTACGGCGCGAGTATGAGAAACACTGTGATCCCGTCGATTCAGGTGAAACACACTTTAGTAATCTTGACAAAAATACGCTGCCTGTGCTTGGCCCCTCACAAACTGGCGATCCGTGAATTATTCTTAATTGGGAAGGAAATCCATGACTTTCATGCCATTAACAGTAAACAACGTAATAAAGTGCTTGATCGATTGAAATATGTATTAAGCAAAATGGAAAATAGTGTGGAGGATAATGAAAGGAAAAGCATAGAACATTAATTGAAACCATAAACACCTGAAAACTGGAGGCAAAACTAAAAGGATCTACAGACGGCGATTCTTTGACGGTCCTAACAAAACCTGCCAAAGACAAATGAAGCTTAAGCGCGAGATAGTGCAATTAGATGAGCAATGACCGTAAGTGGGAAGGTTAACATTACTTGGATACTTGGATACTTAGACAAAACCCGTCCTCACTAGCTGTGTGGGCCGCAGCAGGACTCTTTCTCAGCTTGGGAAACCTTGCCGGGTGGATGAATCCTCTGCTGTACATGGCAGCCTGACACTTAGGAACACCTTCCAGCTACGATGAGGCGGTTAACCGTTAGGAGGAGGTTAACATTTAGAGAAAGCAATGTTAGTAACGTGGCCGTGACTGGAGTATTCCTGTTCCTTTTTATGGAATCACCATAGTCGCTCCTTAGGTTAACTTCACCATTGGAACCAAGTTTTTTAAATGTCATTTTACTACTTTAAAAACAATTTCGTTTGCCCTACTCTCTAAAATTCGTCAGCCATCAAGAAGATCACTGAGATGAGACCAGTGTTTGGCAGATCGAGTGGCTTTCGCAATTGGTGAACGTCATGATCACGTTGCATGTGCTGCCCACTGTAGTAATAGTGTTCTCCCCTCTGGCTCAGCAAGTCGAGCTGTGGACTGGCGTACCATCGCGGCGTGAGTTCTTTCAGAACCAACTTTCAAAACAGTTCTTGAAAATTTTTCTTAATTCCAGAATCTCGCTGTGCTTCTATAAGATCTATCTTTCAAAACCGTTTGCTTAGCAGGGTTTTGAGCTAGTCGCATAAAATCTGTCCTAGCACTTTAACAATAGATTACTTACATACTTAATTGGATACTTGGACAGTACGTCTTCACGATTTGTGCGAACCACAGCACGCATGCTATTCTGCCATGAATTTGAGCCGAACATAAAGATTATTGTCGTCAGTAATCACCTGTCAACAGGATTGATCTGGGGTGTCCACATTGGCATTGAACCCAGTTAACCTGAGGCTGTAGTTAAGTTCACAATGTTTTACGTTTTATTTTCCGCCTTCTATAATTTTATGGCAGGGTATTAAGCGAAATACAACCGCAAGATTGCTGAGATATTTGCAAAGCTCTGGACCGCAGGAGGTGTCTGCGGTGGGGAACGAACGTGCTATTGACCTTTCCCAGTAGTAACGCGTTCACCACCACACCATGGGGGTCCTTCGTTTCGTCTATCTCTGAGCTAGTTCTATTGATCAGTGCCGTCAGCAATACTCTGCCATAAACATTATGAAAGACAGAAAATAAAAAGTAGAACATTGTGAATTCAACTACAGTCTGAGCTTAACTAGGTTCAATGCTGAAGTGAGCTTCCCAGATTAATCCCGTTGACAGGTGATTGCTGAGGGCACTAAACGATAGAACTAGCCGAGAAACAGGCGAAACCAAGGACCGCGTGGTGCGGTGGTTAACGCGTTACTCCCCGGAGAAGACAGTATCGCGTTCGTTTCCTACCGCAGACAACTGCTGTCCAGAGTTTTATAAATATCTCAGCAATTTTGTGGTTGCATAAAGATTATTTTTAACAGACCCACGAGTGGCGCAGCGGTCGGAAGCGCCTTGCAACACACACACGGAATCGATCACCGGGCCCATGCCCCACCAAGCCTTCCATCCCTCCGGGGTCGGAAAGTTGGTACCAGACTTGTCTGGGAGGATAGCAGCGCCGTCTCGATACATTGGCAGGTCACCGCGAGTCATTCTAAAGCCCAGATATGCATTCAATCACCTCCAAACGGTGCTTGATGGAGTTGAATGCATGGTGCATCTCTCAGGGATTGACCAACGCCGACAGCTTTATCCCATTTTTATCCATACGTCCAACTAGGATTTGTTCGTTCAGCCATAAAGCCACTATCAAATCAGTCGGACTTCAATTTTGCGAAATTTTTCCAAAAGATCCTAATGTTTCGAAGGGCCGATTCTCATCAAAAATTTTCTTTCCAGTTGAAACAGCATTCGCCGACGTTTTGGATGATGTAAAATTATCGCAATTACTAGTTAGTCGTTGGTTTAATTTGCTGACACCAAGCAGTTTCTCACTGAACTGGAAAGGAATTACCTAATCGTTGCTGTACACATTGCAGACTTCAGCACGCGTCGGTTCATCACCCGCTCACTCATTTTCCTTGGAATCGTCTTCACCGCCGAGACGATACCTCACTTCGGAGTGTTCCTCGATTTGGTGAGCTTACCAATAGATTGAAATCGGCGAGAGTGTTCGCTCTAGCTGATTTTGATGACGGGAATAGTGCTCGTCACCTCAATTGAGAAGTCAGCGATAAATCTTATGAAACTTCAAAAAACAAAGTCGTCACTGTGTTCAAGGCAAGGCTACAAATACAATGAGTAAGAATAGAGAAATGAGTAAAGTGATGGGGAATAAAGGCAAAAGTGCTGATTTGTTTTCCATTTCGATAGAGATTTGAGCGAAATTGAGAAGTGATACTTATTTACGTGGTGGTGCGGTGGAGCTTTCTCCAAACATTGCTGTATGCCCCTTTCATTCCTCAGCAGTCTTGAATGCAGAGTAGCCCACCGTTGGCATTGTTGTAAGATAAAACTAACTCTGCAAGAAAGTAGGGCTATCGACAAAACCATCTTCTGGGTCACATGTTCAGGAGATGCAAAATGGATTGCAAAATTTTGTGCAGAAATCGTCGTATACCTAAGGATTCTCGGGCAACCTAAGACCTATGAGATCGGAAGTATTTGTCTTTGCGCCCATTCTCCTAATTCCCTGGCCTTGTAACAATTTCATGTCATCTTTTCCGTTTGCCATTTCACTTTAATTAGTTTTTCCATCTTTGTTTATTATTAATTAGTAAACTTAGAATGAAGAACGGAATGGAGGAACACGCTTAAATGATGTCCATGATGACGGAGGTAAAACATATACAATGGGCGAGAAGTTCAGGTGGGTGGTTCAACGGTGACGCTGATGACGATGCTATTGCCGAGCGTGTTCTACCTGTTCTTGTTCGCGTCGTACAAAAAACGAGTCGACTTGATAAGCACGATGCAAATCTCTCCGGATGCACCGGACGATCAGCTGGCCGGTCTTGCGGAGTAAGACGTTCGAACATCTAATAATGAGTTATTGTTTTTCTGATGAGCAGACACTAAGTTGTTAAAATAATGTTTATTCTACAATTGTTAACCTTTAGGCGGCTTCTCCTTCTTCAGAGTCTAGAAGGGTTATATTTATGCACAGTCTACTCAGCCAAACACTTCCATAACCCGAACAGGAGAAACTCGAAATCTAAATTGCAATCGCGCAGGAAATAGCTTCTCTAATACCCACTGTTTAGTGCTTTATAAGTGTTCCACCTATTCAGGAGTACTAGCTGCTAAGTGTTTGGCAATTCCTAGCACATTTTTAGATTCTACTCTATTCTAAGCCAGCAAAGCCTATTATTCTTCTACTGCTTGCTAGTCTCATCCGCAGAAGATCCACCTCACTCTGAACTATACCTTGATTAGTTTGCATGTTATGATGTTCAGATATTTGCAAAGCTTGAACCACAAGACAAATTCGAACCTGCGACTATCCTTTCCGATGCTCATGTGTTACATTGCACCACTGATGCCCTTACTTTGCCTTTCTTTCAGCCAGTCTAAGCTTAACTCGGTTTAATGCTGATTTGTGCTCCCTAAATCATTCCCGTTGACGGGAGATTGCTGATGTCACCGTTAGGTAGGAAACTGGCAGAGAGAAAGGCGGAACAAGGGCTCCATTGGTGCATTGAGTACTACATGTGTCTCTGGAAATGGTACTCGCGGGCTCGAACCTTCCCTGAGGTCCAAGGTTTGCAAATATCTCAGCATGATAGTGGTTGTATTTAAGGTGATACCTTGTAGAGGAAGCAGTAATAGGCAGTAAACAGCAAACATTGCATTTTGCTTGTTGTTGAGCAAAAAACACAAATTTACAATTCCTTTGTAAATTTACAGAATGAGTAGCTGTACAGTGTTATGTCTCAGTGAGAGCTCATACAGTTGTTTTTAGCATCTGGCGAAACACCTCTAAACCAGTGCTCCTCCTAAATGCTGTCTCGCTCGGTGAGTCTACTCAGCTCAACGCTTCTTCTACGTTGTGCTTCCTAATCTTGTCTATTCAGTGTTCGGCCTAATAGGAGGCATAGCCGCTACGTCTTCGGCGTTGACGGAGCTACTCGATGCAAAAATGGCTCCTCCTTGCTATGTTCAGTGGTTCACTTCTGGCCTCAGTATGCCTCCACCGAAAGGTGGTTCAACCCATTGTTGTGGACCATACATGAATGTCACCGTGAGTGGAATCGATCCTTCTAATGTGTGCCTCATGTCGGATTACGTTTAATCTTTTCGTTGCTTTTTTCCCATCGTTTAGATTATGTCAGAATGCTTTGTAAAAATAGCGTTAGCGTTACTGAAGAGGGTATACTTCTCAGCATGGTTATCGTTATCCATTACTTTCTGTGGACTTCTATTCAAGAATTATCCCATTGAAATGACACCGCATGCGCCTAACTCTGCCCTCCGGTCATAACCTTTACATATTTGACAGCCGATTATAGGCCTTTGTTGCCTGAGATGCAGTGGATGTAACTGAAACCATCAAACTTTCCCTCTCACTTTATCCCTACCGGACCCGCAGGACCCGTGGAAGGCATCAAATGAGCTATGGTTTTATTGGAAATCAATAAAGAACATAGTTGTACAAGATATTTTTATTGTAGCATTTCTTTAATATCACCTCTTGTTCATTTCGCAGATGTTAGTTAATTCAGAATTTCAACCTTGGCGAAAATCCGGCTTGTAGATATGCTTGAAATAAAACTGCAATGTTATTCCACATGTGTTCTATGATATTCTTAAACTGTGTGAAATGGTTCCAGATTGACTAAACCTTCCAGAAATTTTTCCATTTCCTAAAAGAGGTTCGTAATCACATCCTACATTTACACGTTCTCAAAGTTCCTCCTTTTTCTGAACGGCGACTGAAATGTCTACAGAAGGCTCGCCGGCGAAGTTGCTTCACGATGATTGCGTTTTTTGTTGGCCTGGATGAGCATGTCATGTTGGAATTGTGGAGCGATACGGCGCATTTCATCGGTGGATTCGATGCACTCGATCCGACTGACCAGTGCCATTGCTTGTTTCTTCGAGCGTCCATCAGTCGCCCACTGGACGGGTTTCCGACCAGACCGATATCATTGATCCGTGGCTATCAGTTCAGCTCATTCACTACCAACATTTGCCAATCGCCTAACATTTTCGTCTCTCTCAATTCAATGACCTCATTGTTTTGCTTCATCCTCGTCTTTCTTCAATGTTACAGCAGCGAGATCGGAAAGGAAGAACTAAAGGTGACGTATTTCACAAATGAACTTTCATGGAAGTCTCGTAAGGTGGGAACTCTCCAAGCGTACCGCTTTTATTTGATAACCTTCTAACGGTGTTATTGAGCCACAGAAAAACATTCCCTAAACACGGGACGCGTGAGCTCTATAAGAGTTATACAGTGCGAAAATAATGACAGCCTACAATTCAAATCGACATATCTCTACTCATAAGGCATTTTATTAGCCGCGGTAAAAGCCACCAAAAGGTAAAACTTCTGTTGTTTGACCACGATTGAATTTTGATTTTCTGAAGCCTAGACATACATTTCCTCCATTGTATCTACTCGAAGCTCATATTTCGAACATAAAAGCCAAAAATAAAGCTCCCGGCGTCGATCAATCTCTAATGGATGGGCTATGTATTCCACTTCATTAAGTATTGTTGGAGGTGATTGAATGTATATCTGGCCTTTACAATGGCTCGAGGTGTCCTATCGAGCCAGTGCTGCTATCCTCCCAGACAAGTCTGGCACTAATTTGCCGACCCCGGAAGGATGAAAGACTTGGCGAGCCACGGGCCCGGAGATCGATCCCACGTGTGAGTTGCAGGCCGGTTCCGACCACTGCGTCACACGCGCTTTCAGCAATAAAATATGGGAGATAAATAAAATCATGGTTTCGAGCACGACCGTCTTATCCATGAAATCCTGAAATTTTCGGATGTGTGAAAGAAATAGTCCCATCTTTTGCCGTGGAGAAAAGAAAAATCGCACTTAGTGTGATTGAGTTGTAACTTGTGTTTATGAGCTCAGATGGAAGTCATAGCCCTAAATAATCGAATTCACGAGCCGCGAAGAAGGAAAGAACGTGCTTCATCTTGAAGCGTAAATTTACTTTTAAGCAACGTAGTCTCAAATTCATTATTTTAGTCGCAGTTTCCTACACATCCTCATTAATCTTCGGAACAAGTTCTACAAGTAAAGATCCAGTAAATACTTCCTTTACAAATCACTTACAGAATGATTACGTCATGTAGATTTGTCACCGAACTATTCTATCATAGAAATGTCGCAGGTAAAAGAAAATAAGAGATCTCGATTACAACTACGCATAGCACAACACAGTAGTCCGAAAAGTGAACAACTATGAACAACTGGCAGTACCGTAGCGAGGTCCCCGTACCCATGACGGAAGCCGTTTGAAGTTGTCCTTCAACAACGACACATCGTCCTGCTACCGCTGTCAGATCTTCTGGAGTAAAACAGTGTAGGAATGAATGGTCTAACTGAAATTTCCAGCTGATAGTAAGTTTTGAAGCATAATTGTAGTTAAAAGAGCTGTTTATTTAATTACTTTTCCAGTTATTCATTAAATCGTACTATTTGATGTATAAATCTTGAAAAAGCTTAGTACTTAATCGAGGAAAAGCACGAAATTTATCACAAGGCGATAGATAGAATGAAAAGAAAACGACCAACGCAAAAAAGCTGGGAGAATGTTTTACTTCATGGTCCGCAGGGATTCTGCTGAAACGTTTAATATCTCACTTCGTGACACATCAGTATCGAGAAATGATCTCGAAGCGGAGAGCGACCTTGTGTATGGAAGCGCAGCTTTAAATCGTAATCTAATAACAATTGCAGAAACACAATGTTTGACGTTTTGTTTTCTGCCTTCTATAATTTTAGCGCGTTCGTTCCCCACCATAGACACCTGCGGTCCAGAGTTTTGCAAATATCTCAGCAACGTTGTGGTTGTATTTCGCTTAGTAACCTGCCATGAAAATTATAGAGATAGCGCGTTCGTTCCCCACCATAGACACCTGCGGTCCAGAGTTTTGCAAATATCTCAGCAACGTTGTGGTTGTATTTCGCTTAGTAACCTGCCATGAAAATTATAGAAATAACGCATTCGTCCCCCACCATAGACACCTGCGGTCCAGAGTTTTGCAAATATCTCAGCAACGTTGTGGTTGTATTTCGCTTAGTAACCTGCCATGAAAATTATAGATAAACATTGTGATTTCAACTGCAGCCATAGCTTAACTGGGTTCTATGCCGATTTGCGCTCCCCAGATCAACCCCGCTGACGGGTGATTGCTGTGGCAAAAAGATCGATAGAAATAGCTGAGAGACGTGCGAAACAAAGGACCCGCATGGTGTGGTGGTGAACGCGTTACTCCCCGGAAAGGATAATAGCGCGTTCGTTCCCCACCATAGACACCTGCGGTCCAGAGTTTTGCAAATATCTCAGCAACGTTGTAATTGCAGAAACACTTCAGCGTCAAGGAGAGCCATCTGGAAACTGTCGAAGAGGCGTTGCTGAAGTTGAAGAGGCTGGCCCACCGTCGACTGTATGGGAATCGCGAATTCGGACATGACGTAATAGTTTCGTTGCTCCTATTCAAAAGCTTTCAGCGGAACTCAGAGTGCAAAAAATATGTTAAACCGTTTTTGTGTGAAAAATGAGTTACCACCTACTGCTCGACGCATTCGGTAACTATAAATCTCAAAGTAACTTATGCTCGAAAATTTATAATAACTATATATTTTCTACTCTATTACAATCAAAAATATGTCGTACAAAGCTTAGGCTGCTGCAGACTCTAAAAAGCCAGTAGCGATCAGCTCTCTTCAACCTACCGTAGCCAAGGAGCTCAGCCCCTATTTGTTCGAAGGTATGCATAATCATGTTCATGTCAGCAACCGACGAATATCGACAAATAGCCTCGTCTATAAGTGCGCTTAGAAAGGCAAATAAGAGCTTTTTATGCAAATGTTGTTACTTTTTACAGGCTATGAAAAGATTTAATAGAAGCGCTTTGATAACTTAAAACCAAAATAGCTCAAAAAACCGATTTTCTATAAATCTGGGCAAAATAATCGATATATACATATATATATTCTTACGAACTGCCCTTGTTGAGCTGATACGAGGTTGGCGTATGCTGTCGTTGTTCTTGTTGTTTGTTGTTGTGGTTATTCGATGGCTGACGTTTCGACAACTTCGCTTTCTTGAGAGTCCGGACGTATTAAATGTCTCACGATTCGGTGAAAAATCTGCAGTATTAGCGAAGATCTAACATGTAGATGAAAGCCATTTTGTTCAAAAATTACTCATCGTGCTGTTGCGGGTTGGATCACTCGTGTTTTGTTAATTTAGGATGATGGGACCCAACCAGGTGAGAAAATCAATTTGAAATAGGACGCCAAACCACGTGGGAAAGTGAGGATTCGTCTTTCCAGGTCATCTTTGGATTCTTAAAATGTCCCACAAGAATGCCACAAGAGTCTTGCACACCGATGTTTTCATTCCTGCACTAAAATCCGGATAGCCGACTAAAAATCATCACCATTGTGTTTTATGCACTATGTGTACCTGAAGGAGTGCTTTCACGAATTTTAAGCTTCCCATCTAGATGTTCTTCTATGTGGACATAAAGTGGTCTACCCGTTTCCCCAATATTCCTCACTGCATGCCTTACACGAGATCAAGTGTGTTGTACTAGAACTCATGCAATCCCCGTCTCTCCCGCTATGACGGATCGCACAATTCTCTGAGCTGCAGAAACGATATAGAACCCGAATGAAGGCTAAATGACGGCGAAATGTATTCAGAGGTCAATAATTGCCACACAAGTTCCTAGACCACTTTTTCTTAGGCACTTCTTAATGCTGCAACCGTTTGAAATGAAACGTAGCTTGAAAGGGATTCGACCAAGGTTTGAAGCATTATTTTGGGAAAGAATTCTACCTCTTGGTCTGTACTGAGTGGGTTCTGCTTCGCAGTCACTGAAAGTGGCTATTCTTCTTGCCAGGTTTACCCATTCTTTCCTTTCCACTTTTCCTCTGCACACATTTTTATCCCTTCAGTACTTGCTTTTGATGAGTGCTTTATCCATGTGTGAAGGATGAGAGGAGAGGTAGTGCACTAGTATACTTTTGCTGCTTGGTTTTTGAAACCATTTTGTTATGTAACCACTTTTTGAAAGCTTTACTTGGATGTCTAAGAATGAAAGCCAGTTCTCGTTTGGTTTTCTCACGCTGATTTTATATGTTCCGATTGTCTAAGTAACAGTTCAAAGGATTCATCTATCTGTTCATGTGTGGAACAGACGATGAAGCAGTTTTCTATAAATTGACACTACAGCAAGGGCTGGCGATCGAGAACTGAGGCTTCCACCTCAGACATAAAAGCAACGGCAAGGCTTGATGCTAATCGCTGTCCCATGGCCAACCTTCTAATTTGCTCGAAATATCTTCTCAACCACCAAAAGGTTGAGCCACTACGACACTGTTTTAAAAGAGTAATTAACTGTACAATCGACAAGCCATAAATTTTTACTTTCTTTGCATGTTCTACGCGCGGCTTGAAAATGGATTGCATTGCGAGGTCAGCCAAGCCAAAGTCTGCTCCAGGTCGTCACCACCACAGGCAGTCGCAGCCCTTGTGGATCAGAGGGAGATTTGCTGCCATGCGATTAGTTTGATACGACGACAGTAGTGGATCCTGGTATTGGTTTACTCTTACCAGGGCTTCCTGATAGAAATGCCGGACTCCTTTAGTCAGTTTAGGAGACTCTGCCGGGGGGATGAATTCACCATCTATATATCGCAGTCCGATACTCAGCAACACCTGTCGGCCACGATGTGCCGATAAGCCGTTGAGAGGACTGGATCTGGATAAAGTTTAGAAACCATTATGCTGATGAATTTGAAGTGGCTGTCCGGGTCCTGGCGCAGGAAACAAAAACATCAACGGGCAAGACTCTTAAGACGTTCTAGATAAATTTTAAAAGCCAAAAGATAACCCGAAAAGACGAACGCCTCTCTTTCGCACGTGATCTTGCGTCTTATTTCAAACTGACTTTCTGAGCTGAGTGAGCCCTATTCGTCATCCCACGTGAACAACACACGAGTGGTTCTACTCTTAACGGCAGGGTGAGTAATTTTTGAAGAAAACGGCGTTCATTTATATGTTAGATCGTCATTATACTATAGACTTTTCACCGAATCATAAAACTGTTGTTACACTTAATACGCCAAGGTTATGAGGAAGCCGAAGTCACCGAAGCGTCATTCACCGAACAACTGCATCAACCAACAACGTCAACAACAACAACATCACCAAGAACAGCATCAACAACAACAATAACAACAACAACATCAACGACAACTTATACGGACTTCGCCTCAGCTCAACAAAGGCAGTTCGTAAAAACATATATGTATAGGACGAATGTGTTTTATCACAGAAAGAAAGATGTGGAACTTCATTGAAATCAGAAATGATATTAAGGAGAAGCAAAAATAATGCCTTTTTAACTTTTTATTTACAGCTTACTACAATTTGCCGCGGCAAGGTATTATATGCAATTCAACCACAATGATGCTAAGAAATTTGCAAAACTAGCCGAGAGGAAGTTGAAACGAAGGCCCCGTATGGTTTGGTGGTGAACACGTTAGCCCTCGCAAAGTGTAGGAAAGGGTAGAGGAAAGGGATTCGATCCCTACCGCAGACACCTGTGGTCCGGTGTTAAACAAATACCTCGGCATCGTTGTTTTTGAATCGTCGTTTATTTTTTAATTTATGAGAAGATGTTTTAGTGAAAAACCGTTGCCTGTACTGTTGTTCAATGGAGTTTTAAAACTTACTTTTTTAGCACAGAGTTTTAATGACCAAGAAGGTTGCGGCGGCGTATCTGCAGTTAACGGTGATCATTTGAAGGTGATATCGAAGTTGACTCTTTAGAAACTACTCCACACTGGAGCTGATTCTCTAGAAACTACTCGATACTGGAGTAAACTCTCTGGAAACTACATTAAAGTTACGGAGGAATCTAAAGTCCATTAACCAAAAGTGATTCGTCATTTGGAAGGTATTGGAAAGCTGAAGTAGCGAGCGTCATGCGGCTTGTACGACAAGGAGAAATTTGCTGCTTCAAAATGTGTTATATTTTCACTTCATACAACAGAAATGACCTATTTCTTGAACCCATTGTGCCTTGCCATAAAAAAGTAGTTCTCTCACGACCATCGTCGTCGTCGTTCTTCGAAGTGGGCCGAGTATAATCAAGCTCCACATCACTTCTCGAGAGTGGCGATCTGTCGTACAAAAAAGGACTCATCAGTGGTTTACGCAGCAGTTATTCGATGTTGCTTCATGATTTTCATCATGAATCCTTACAAGACTACTACTGTCAAGAAAGTACTACCAACAAAGCAAGGAAATCCGTCAAAAATTGACTACGCTGGTCCGGCATTGTTGAACAGAAAAGGTCCACCCGATCCTCGAACAGCGTCACACCATGCGTCTTAGCGTCCTCTATCTCCAATGGAACCATGCGATTCAAAAAAAGCTATTCACCAAACCATCATCAACCGGATACCGCCTTTTCAAGCATTTCGACAAACTCATGCTGAGAAAGCCCTTAATAACTAATTCGATAAAAAACCGCTACGGAATGCTTTAGCGGGCTGGATTTCTTATAGTGACCAAACGTAATGCATCGTATTCTGATTAATGAAGTCGTATTTAAGCCAAGTTAGACCAGTTTTCGTTAAAAAAGCGGCCGTGTTTGCATCGAGCGCACCTGTACGGGATCTCTTGGCGTGACATCAATGTTCTAGAAAATTTCGGAAGCATAGTCGCGTCCTGTCTCCTAAACGCGATTAAATAAAAATGAACATAGTGGATTTTTACAAATGCGTTGTGCTTAAGATAACATAACTCGTTTTGAATTCAGTCTTACAGACTGAAAAGAGTCAATTTTTAAGTTTTTCGTTCTGTCTTTCTTGAAATGCTTAGTTATTGGTGTACACTTACTTTTCTACTAAAACTGGTTACCAATATAAATAGGTTTGTTCTTTGTGGGCTTCGTGAATGCAACGAGTGCAAAAATAGTTTTATATTCGTTACAATTTGCACTGCGTAGTGTTCTCTTTCTTCCCCATTCCACATTTCGAACAGGTTTCGTTTTAAGGCGACATTCTTCTGACGCAGCAACAGGCCATCAGCATCCTCGAACAAGTGTCGGCCACGGACAGTGCGAAGAACCTCGAGAGGGCCCGCCGATCGTTCGACGCAAACCCAGAGTCGAAGTGGCCCATAACGTCGCCTATCAAGTACCGCTTCCACGGAAGTCTCGGTACGACTTGTGTGGACCACAAATATTGCAGAGCAAATTCGTGTTCCAACAATTTTTCCAATACCGAATTTCGAGAGAGGTATAAATGGTTAAGTGCCAACGACGCCGAGGCCAAGTTATACAGAACGCGGCAAATTTATATAACTCCTATAAAGACATTCACGTAAACAGATCTGAATAACTGTATCTCATAAAAACACTAACCGAGTGATGTATTTTAACAAGTTAATGGCACCCCAGGGAAGCTTGTAGCACAGTGGTTAGAGATAACCTGCAAAACGCATGGATTCGATCTAGCGCCTCGGGCTCACCAAGCGTTCCATCCCCCAGGATCGGCAAATTGGCACCAGAACTGTGAGGCAGGATAGCAGCACTGATTCGATGCATCGGCAAGCTACTGCAACTCATTGTACAGAGCAGATATGCATTCAAATACCTCAAACGATGCTTAGTGAAACCGGGTGCATGACGTATCCCTCAAGGGTTGATCAACGCCGGGTGCTTTTTCGTTTGTCCTTTAATGGCATCTCGGGTAAAGGAAAAAAGAAATCCTTAATAAGAATTAGCTTCTTCTAATGTTTTTAGCTATTAACCAAATACATGGAAAGTTCTCTAATTCTTTGGGAAAGTGGTGAAAAATGAATAAAATAAATTTGGTTACCAGCAGTTGGCTTCTTCTAAGCAACCAGCGAACTACGAAACCTCGACTGTGGACCTGCAGCTAATTTCGTGGTACTGGGTACCACGCTGAATTTGTGAAGAAAATCCACTTCGTAAAAAGCGCTGGTGTGTAAGCTCCCACGCACCTAAGAGTTTCCTTCTTTTGTACACAATGTAGGAGATGCTAATTTAGTTTCTTTCTGCATGATATAGAGCAATTTTCGTCTAAAACTATTTGAGCTGACAATAGACTTACCTGAGTTTTCGTCTACCTACCCACTTCCCAAAATGTTTGTCTTCTGTTCTTTTCGCCTTCTGTGCTTCCCCATATCACAGAACAAAATCGTTTGAAGAAGACTATGCTCACTAGAATCGGCTCTACTCCTCCATCTGCTGCTTCTAGCCAAGAATGTCATACTAACCATGCTCATTTTAAGTCTTTGACTAACAGAAACAGTTCGTCTGGTATATATATATATATATGGTACATAATAATATTTCGCACGACCAGCTTTTCACAACTACTGTGCGGATTGCAGCACTTATGCATTCAATTTATTTCGTCGTATCTTTCGTCACTAAGTTCTTCCAAGTTTTGTGCGTGGTTTCGGCTGCTGCTTGAGCATTTCTCTTTCGTCATAATGTCATTGAGTGCTGGTTGAGTCGATCATTCTTGGAGCCCGGAGATAGCCGGGTTAAAGCATCTCTACTTGAATTCCAGGGTGTGAGGTTTTCCCAGACAAATATAGTATCAATTTCTCGTCTCCGGAGGGTTGAAATGGTTGGTAAGCAAAAGCCAGGGTCAAACCAGTACTGCGCTGATGATGATCAGCATCACTACCACTGCGTAACCCACTCTTTTTGGAAATATAGCAAATTTAACAGAAAAAAATTGGTATATTTGTTTTAAAAACAACAACACGGAGAAATTTTCAGATTCCAGGTTTTTTCAAGGATTCCCTTATAACGAAAATTCAAATAGTAAAAAGATCGATCTAAAAAGATTTCAGACTTCTATGCTGTTTCAAATATCATCAAAGCGATCAGATACTGGGAGAATGTGACTTGCTTAACATTCGAAAACGATCCTGATATCACCGAATCTGAAGACTTCATTGAATTTTTCAGAGGCCAAGGGTAGCATCTAATGTGACATTATACCTCCAACTAAAATGATTTCTTTGCATTCAGCTGCTATTCGATGATTGGTCGAAATGGTGGAAGGCAAGGTGTCTCAATAGGCGAAAACTGTGTGAAGGTGAGTAGATCGTGGTCAATTTCTACAAATGTGTTAATGCACAAATACTAACTAAAGTCGTGTAGTCATTGAGTGTTGAGAACATTCACAACACGAGTTTTTGAATATTTTAATTATTCAATTTATTATTCGTTATTATTCGTTTATTATTAAAATTTATTCGTTCAATTATTTCATCAGTTGTAATTGGCCAATGGAGCTAGTTTACTTTACTAAGGACCGACACTATCCCACTGTGCTAGACGAACCTAGCTTACACCCTCTTCGATAAGAGCAAAGTGATTTTGCGCAACACCGAGCTTCAAAATTGTCTAACTAAGCTTTTTATGATTGATATAAGAATAAAACAGTAGTGAGCGTAGTAACAGCCATATAAAGGAGAGATTAATCAATGTTCTCTTCCAGTAACGGAGTAGGTAAGAATTAAGGCAATATAGATAGGAAAAAAGTGGGAAAAGGACACAATTTTCCGATATCGTAACGCTGCTTGTGTACCTGAAACAGGTAGAGTCATTAGTGAATCAGCGAGAACTATTGCTGGAGTGGAAGAAGTTTCCTAGTCTTCTCAAGTCTCGTTAAATTCTGGTAGGAATGCTTCGATGAGTGAAAACACAGCATGAAAGATGAGACAATTTATGCAAAGGAAGTCTGGCCAGCTCAGTGCATTAGGAGCATAAATGCAGTTTTCTGCAAATACAATACGAAGGAGGTCTTTCGAGCATTTTAGTATAATGGGAGCGAGAGTGCAAGAGTGTGTTACGAGATAGGGAACATTTTCTGCTTTGTGGAGAGTACTACGTATCAGCTTCGATGGTCTTCAATTTTAATATGAAACATCCAAGTTGTTTTGTGTGGGGCAAATAAAACAAGGTGCATTGTACCCAATGCGCTTGCTTTTCAGAGACTATTTTGCTGTATAGAGATTTCTTGCTACACTTTGCCTACTCAATTGAGAGCTTTTCCAACAAAGAAATTATGCCTCCCATTGCGCAAGACAAGCTATTCTCCGCTCTTAATAATTTACGAAGAAACTCTCTACGAACGAGTTCTCTGACCTGTAAATTAGACGGTAATTAACTGTTATTTCACCTCACATCGTTGAGTTGAATCATAGGTATTGTGTATCGGAAGAAAGGAGTATGTGCAAAAAATCCCGAACAAGCTAAACCGAAAAAATATCGACAATACTGCTTTTGCAATACACTGCTAGTGCTGACAGTCATGTATGCGGGACCGTATGGAAAATAATATCTTGCATACCGTGCATACCTCTAAAGCGACATATCGAACTTTCCTCTATAGTTCTGCTGTGTTCTCAACGACTGACCTTCTCTGCTTATCGAAAAACTATCGTCTATTGTCGAAAAACCTGCAAGCCCCAATCGACATGGAACCAGGTGTAATTGCTGTGGTCATGCGGATTTGAGGACAGCGCCTTGTGTGTTAACACCGAGCAGTCTCAAAGTCGAGAAAAAAGACGGTGTTAACGCTGTGATTTATCATTTTCGTAATTCTCTGTGATGTGATCTTTTATTGTTGAAGGAAGGTGTGATTGAGCACGAAATCGGCCACTCACTCGGACTGTGGCACGAGCAGAGTCGACCTGACGCACAGTCCTACGTAAAGGTATGTTTAACAATATTTCTGTTTGCCCAATTCTTCTATGAAACCTCATTATGAAGTCGTGTATCCATTTCAACCAAACCTAAAAGTATTCATGCACCAATAGAACTTCATGTTTGTTAAAATGCTAAAAAGTGTGTAAACAGTTCTTCGATTTCTGTGAGCATTGGGGTCTGTGGCACAGTATGGTTAGAGATTCTCTGAAATGCGCACATGATCTTTGTTTCGATCCCGCTGATAAGCCAAACAGTGAGATCGAAACAAAGACCTACATGCATCCAGGGTCAGCAACTTGCTTTTACACTTGTCCTAAAAAATAACACACTGACTTCATACATAAGTAGGCCATCTCAAGCCGTTGTGCAGGCCAAATATGCATTTAATCAAATCTACGATACTTAGTGGATTCAACTGCATGGTGCACCCTGTAGGGAGTGATCAACATTTAACACTACGTTTCTACGGTTTGTAAGAATTGAAGTCTAAATTCAATGATAATTATAGAGACTCAACATAGATTTTGCCTTCATGAAATTGATGATTACGTCGAATACTTAGGAAATAGTGGGAATACTTCATCTCCAACTGCTAAGCATCAGAATATAGTGTTAGTGAGAAAGATCTTGTTCATTTCCGTCATTCTAAGGAAGACAGAATGACAAAACCCAAGATTGGCTTTTCATACGTTTCTTCTTCTAAATTTCATGTGGTGACTGACTTCATCCTGCCGTCGTATGCGAGCGACTTTGTGCAACATGAGAAAGACATCATCACATTCGATATACCATACGATCTAGGCTCGATAATGCACTACGGTGGCACAGCATTCAGTATGGATCAGACGAGCAAGACGCTGGTTACTCGGTAAACTGAACGATTTGGCGCAGAACCGTAGACTGAGTATCAGTAATTCGACTGATCTTTTTATTCCAGAGATCCTCTCTACCAGAACACAATTGGGCAAAGAGAGAAACTGTCATTCTTGGACATAGAAACCATCAATCGAGCGTACTGTTCAGGTAGCATTTTTCCATCAATTTTTCATGATGGATTGCTGTATCGCTGCAACCTGGCCAATTATCGTTGCTGTTTCCTTTCGGGTTCGAAACACTTACCTTGATACTTGGATGACCCAACATTGTTTAAAGGCTCCACATTTTTTCCGCTCATTTCTTTGACTCGGAATCGTCGTCCATAGTGACGATCTGCTTTGAGCACGGTGACGTGTGTGAGTGTAATCCCGTGGTCCGTAGAAAGTTTACAGCTATAGACACAAACTTTGTTGCTCCCTCTGCAAATATCAGGCTGTTCGGAAATTAATGGAGGATTGCAACTTCTACTTTCAAAGTAGCACATCTGAGCTACGAAAGGGTTTCATCGATCGGAATAGAAACCACTTGAGTTCACAAATTTTTGCCAACGATAAACACGTTTGCTTAATCCGATTGCAAATAATCCAGAGTTCTGGGAACGATGAAGTCGTTAAATTCTTCCTTTATGTCTTCCTATTTTTGTTGAGCAAACGCGAGGTGTTATTATTCTTTATTCACGAATAAGCTGACGTTCCGGCGGATTTCGCCTTCTTCAGAGCCTGGAAAGGTCAAGTTGTTAGCAATCTACTCGGCCAGACGCCTCCATAACCAAACAAAGAAACTCTAAACCAAGATTTCAATCACGTTGAACACAGCTTTGCACGCTCACCGCTTTCTATGAGGTTTCCACTAAGTATGCCACGTAGAGAGAGACCAACCGCACAAAAATCACATGGGAGCACATAATATGCCCCTCCCATCAGAATAGCAGTCTTATATACTTCTCTATATCACGCGTGATAATGAGGCATTCTTCCCTGTGGTTCATTTTCGGATTTCTGGAATTAATCCAGAATGCCTCGAGAGTTTTTCGCGCCTGTGTTCTTGATTCGCGTGCGAGGATCGTGAAACATACTTCGAAGTCCTCCTCGTTATGTCTCTGGGTCCTATGCGTGCCTAGCGGGGTATTTGGTCTATGTTTGCCGGCTAGGTGTTCTTTTATGCGGACACAGAGGGGTCTGCCCGTTTCGCCAATGTATTCATCACCGCACGTCTCACAGGAGATCAGATAAACAATACCCGAGCTCATGCAAACACCGTCTCTACCACTGGGGCAAATTATGCAATTTTGAGTTGCACATAGACGGTCATATAGGCGGTTACGAACTAGCTGGCGCTTAAGATTACTCGGTGGTATTTCAACTACGCTCACCGAATTCTCTAAGCTCGCCCTTCTTAAGCAGCGTTTTATAGCTGTACTTATATCATTTGAGATGAAGGGTAGGATAAACAGAACCCTTCTATCGCTAGAGTTGTCGTTTAGAGGCCTATGATTTCTTCTACACCTATCCTGAGCTACAGTTTCGTAGCCATTAGAAATGGCTATTTGCCGTGCCAAGTTCCGGGACTCCTCTCTCTGCTCTCTTCCTGTGCACACGTTGGTTGCAGTTCGAAACATGTTTCTTATAAGCGCCCTTTTCGTGTGAGAGGGGTGAGAGGAGAGGTAATGAACCAAGATATTTTTACTACTTGGCTTTCGGTACCACTTTGTAATGTAGCCATTTTCTGATAGGTGAATTTGTACGTTCAAAAATGGAAGCCATTTTTCTTTCGGCTTTTCTCGGGTGAACTTGATACACTCTGACTGTGCGTTCAACAATTCGAAGCATTTGTCCATTTCCTCTTGTGTTGAGCAAAGGACAAAGCAGTCGTCTACATACCTACAGCAGAGTAGCGGCCCGAGATCAGTCGCCGGTGCTTCCACCTTAGACATAAATGCAATGGCAAGCCTTGGAGCCAGTCGTTGTCCCCTTGTCAACCCTGTTATTTGAGCGTAGTACTTTCCGGACCATCTGAAGATTGAGCAGCTCAAGCATTCTTTTAATAGTGCCATCAAGTGCTCTATCTTGAAGCCATACATGTTTATTTCTCCTTCGTGTTGTGTAAGGAGCTCGAATATGGCTTGCATTGCGGAGTCATTCGACACGAGTCTTCCTTTATGTCTTTTTCACATTCAAGTGCTTTTTATGATCAGAAAACTAATTCGAACTTGTTGTCTTCGCACTATGTGCTTATGATGAACTATCTTTCATTACACGCGTTGCCTCCACGGATCTCCATTCATAGACCTCATGGCGGTTAGTCGCGAGTGAACGTGGCACGTCCCGAGGATAAATAGATGGTTAATTGCGGACTGAGAGCAACCTTTGCTTCGCTGAGACGCAGATGTTTCCAACAGATAGACTCTGTTTGTGCTGCTCCGATTTGGCACACACCTTCTGTAGTTAAGAGGGTGTGTTTTCGTCTATGCGGGTTGTATTCTATAAATCAATTCAGCCAAAAGCCTACAATCAAGTAAGAGGAAGTATATGGGCGGCCGTTAGGAGTTGCCTCCAAGAACTAGGGTTCCAGTCTACTTTGGGAGAGAATGGCAAGCTTTCCGTGAATATATTCAGCCCCCACGTCCAGAGATCAGCAAGCTATACGCGGGTATCAAAAAGCTAAACGCAGTAAAATAAAAGGGCCTCATTATCTTCACCCCGAAAATTCCCCAGTTTGGTAGCGTTGGGTGGGACGAGAATGGTAGCCTTAGCAACAGCGCATTCTAGGCTGCTTAAATCGCAAAGGATGACGATCTGTATGTACAATGCACGCACACTTTCATCGGAATCCTCAATGGACGACCTGATCATAGAGGCACGACGTCATCGGTCTGGCCTAGGCAAGAAGACACCACACATTCAATTCAAAGCCGTTTATGACACTGGAGAATGAAGAGCTGTTCCTAGGAACATGCAACAGTAAAGGATTTGGCGGCGTCCGCGTTCTCGTCAACACGAGTTTGTCCATGAACATCGATTCATTCGAACAACTAATAAACCGAATCGGATGTTTACGATTGAAGAGATGTGGGTTAATGCCGGCTTTGACAATCTCCGTCGTTTACGCACCAACATCAAGCTATACCGAAGAAGAAGTTGAAGCGTTCCATATGGACTTGGAGAAGTTCTACAGAGAAGACCATACATTTTTCGAGGTTATCATTGGAGCTTTTAACTCCAAGACTGGACAAAGAAGATTGTCTAAAGAACGTCACATTGAAATTTACGGATTAGAGTGGAACGAACAGGGTGAGTGGATGTCTGAGTTTATCATGACGGCCAAGATCATTTATGATAACTCGCATTTCCAGAAGTCCCACCCTCAGCACTGAACGTGGGAGTCTGGCAATGGAGAGCACCATAACGAATAGACCACATCATAATAAATCGAAGATTTTGCCCTACCGATGTCGCTGTTGTTCCAAAATTTCACACGGGATCAAACCATTGCCACGTTCATGTAAGATCCGATTCCTCGGGGAAAGGTGGATATCCAGTGCAAGGCGGTGGTGAAGTTGGCTTTCACGCGATGATGACGTCATTTCAGACTTGCAGAAGATAATGCGTGAATGGAAAGGCTGTATTTTCATGGAGTAATTAGGACAACCATGAAATAGGTTTCTATGTAGAGCATTTTCACTCTTAAATCTGCAAGCCATGATAGGAATGCACTCGATCCGATGTTGTCGACTACTTTTTCATAGCTGGTACACGTTAGGACAACACAGAACCACCGTTGGAAGCCTGATTAGTCGACGGGTCAACACTTCATCTGAAATTCCTGATATGCGGTATGTGAACGTGTAAATCGGGCGTTAGTCAGTGATGCTATCCCTCAGACAATTCTGGTACTTTGCCGACCGCGGAGGATTGAAACGTTTGGTGACCCTTGGGCGCGGGGATCGCTCTCATGTTCATTACAAGGCGCTTCCCAACACCACGTTACACGCGCCCCGGACTGATAGCGGAACATTTATTCGTAAAAATCCAACGCCACCTCTTCAAGCTATTTATTGTAGAGTTACTTCCGTTTTTTTGTGTGTGCCGATGCAAATCCTTTTGCGATGAGCTTCTACAGCTGACGTTTGTTATTAACAGCACTACCTGTGTTGCACTATGATCAAGTTTCATTTTTCCTCGCTTTTTGAAGGTCTGTTCGATAACCCTTTCAAGGCTTTCCAGATATGTAGGGAAAAAGCCTCATGAAGAGTTTTCTCGTCACGCGTGACTTGTTTTTTTTTTGAGCGAGACAAAAAATCGTTTCTAGTTTACGCCTGAATGGAAATCACACGGAAAGAAGGCGGTGATCGGAGCCATTGCACAATGATGGGACCATGCAGGTGTAAAACGGGTACCATCTTGTTGTCAACCACCTTTCAAAACCCTTGATCTGTCCGCTCTCATTAAGCGTTCCTTACCTCACATTCAGATCTAAAAAATTTATAAAAGCACTTATCGATTACCTCATCCAAATGAAGACACAACGCTTCTAGCTCGTGTTTAATAACTGCACCGGTCAGTGATTAGTAGTTTGATGGTACTGAACCAAAAAGCCCACACCACCGACATCTTGTGACGACATATATCAGTTCACCAACTTCTTGCATGCTGTAGGGCAATCACATGCAATCTAGCGCGATGAACTGCCATAGCAAGATCATGAAAATCTGAGTCTGAGCAGGCTGTCTGTCTTTATAGGTGCAGAGTAAGAAAAAATCTCCATAGTGCGTCGTGTGTGTGTTAATTTAGTCGAGTATCAAGGTTTCTCAACAATAAGTGATGGCATCTTTGCATTGTATATTTAAAAGCCTTTATTTGATCGGGTTCACTACCATCGAATTCATCCAATTAAAGCTGGAGAGTCGATCAGAACTTGGTTGCAGTAATAAATTAGGTTAACAACTTGGCATTCCCATATAACAGCCATTGCCAAAGCTCAACACAAAACATTGAAATTTCCGATATCAATAAGTTCCTATTGAAGACCGCTGCTTGGAACCGAACACATGTCAGAACGGCGGCTACCAGCATCCAAATCTGTGCGATACCTGTCTCTGTCCAGATGGCCTCTCTGGAGCGAAATGTGAAGATTCAGAGCCACCACGAAGTTTGTTCCTCTTTGCAGTTCATGTTCGCCTAAATTTTTAGTTGATTAAAAAGCAAACAATGTATCATCTCAATTTCTGGAATCAAAGATGACAGAAAGGAAACAAGCACAAAATTCTACCTATCGGATTACCCAACCTACTGTGATAGGAGGAATAGGATAAGAAGGAAACACCGGCTTCCTCTAACTTTGCACTTGGAAAGTTTTTTTGTAATTAATTTATCTGGTACTGATTTGTATCATTATAATATCCTCTGATCGCCAGGTGTTTTGTATGGAAATCAACACTTTCCGTTTGCATGCCGTGCTATCCGGTGGAACCAATCACACTAGGCACACGAACAGCGGTCACAAATTTATTCTTGGTTTTTTTTATCCCACTTACGACGAGGCGATAACCCTTTTTGGTACTTTGTTTTCAAGCAATATATACTAAGAAAATTTTTATTTGATGCGACCTGTATCCACGTCTACTGTGTGTATCCCAGCAACTCACATCCGATTCGTTTCCTCGCATCCATCATCCACAAAGGTCGTCCAACTGCTTCAGGATTTTCCTTCCATCTTAAATGTCGTTGAATGCTGGTTGAATCGATCGCCCTGGAGCCTTGAGATAGCCGGGGTGGAGCATTTCCACACGGATTGCAAAGAGTAATTTTTTTTCCTGAACAACTCCGGTACGAGTTTCCCAAACCAGGGCGGATGAGGGGCTTGGTGAGCACGGAGCAGGAACGAACCAGAACTGTGTTCATAATGGCCGGCTGCATTACCACTGTGCTATCGGCCACGCACTAAAAATTAACGCTGTGAAACATTTGACCTGTTACGTTAAAGTTCAACGCAATCTACGGACAACTAGAGGACGTTGTTCAAAACGGCAAGTTCTTTTGCACAGTTAGATTGGTCAACGAGAAGATAAAATGGCGAGCATCATAAAAACAAGTTTATAAACGGGAATTTTAGAACCCGTAAGGAAATAACCGTAAAGAAGAAGAAAAAGGCAGTCGAAACAATTTCTTGCTATTAATGGTTGTAACAGATGTGAACACTCTCTTTTCAACGTAAATAGTAGTATTCTTTCTTTGATGAGCTTACACGAGATTGATAATTATATTTATTTTCGGCTAACGTTTCGACGTCTTCGTCTTCCTGAGAGCCGATGATCCGACTCGATGGTCGACGCTTGTGTTCTGCTTCTTATTACTTACTGTTTTGTTGTCAAAAACAAGTTTTTATCACACTATCACCGAATAATCACAACTATCCACCATCAGCAACCTGCATAAAAGGGCATCACCAAGTGAGTATGCCTCATTCGAGAGGATGGGCCGCCGAGGAAGACCTGACTCGACACGAAGGCGAAGCTGCCACGTCGAGCCGAATAACAAGCGTGGACCGTCGACTCGGATCATCGGCTCTGAGGAAGACGAAGACGTCGAAGCGTTAGCCGAAAACAAATATAATTGTCAACCTCGTGTAAGCTCATCGAAGAAAGAATACATATCGAAAATAGTAGTTTTAATAACTTTCGTGAATTTGCAGGAAAGCTATCGTTCACAAAGCATGACTGTATAACGTTGAGTTAATCCCTTGTCCCATCCATTCACTATGGTTCGATGCTCAGTGTAGGTGGAACCCATCATGTACGGTTAGTGATTAAAGCTGTAGAAAATCACTTGTGGAGTAAGTCATGAGTCCATGGAAAGAGGAAATTATTAACTGATAAAGATAAAGATAAGATAAAAGATCTTGACGGATAATGTACACTCCCTATTAGCATAATGAGACAAATATGGTCGTTGGGATGGTGCAGTCGTCAACCACATGCGATTAAAATCAGCTGTTCTAAACTTCCTCATTGGAAGTCACGAAAAAGCGGCTCTGAAGAAGGCGATACTGCCGAAACGTCAGCTAGCGTTGTATTGTATTGTGTTTTTATGGAAGTAAATGTATGCTGTTTAAAAACCTCGCGATTGCTGAACAAGAAAACGACACATTCATATTCCAATGCCGAGGTTAAGAGAAAGTCGATCCTGGGAACCAATATGGTCGTTGTTAATCCACACTGATAACTAGAAACTGTGAAAGGCAGTGGTCAAAAGTGCCCTGCAGTATACCTATATCGATCAGTGGTTCGATCCCGTGCCCAAAGCTTACCAAGCATTCCATCGCTCCGGCATCGCTGAATTGGTACCTGAGTTCTCTGAGAAGCCTGGTACATCGGTAGGCCACTACCGGTTATTGTAGAGACCACGTACACATTCAATAACCTGTACAATGCGTGATGAAGTCGAATGGCATGGCGCATTCCTCAGAGAGTGATCAATGTTGAATGTTTTCCCGATATATCGTTTAAGAGCTAGGTTATAGTTACGACGTCGTTCATTTATTTATACTGTCGCCGTTCCATGACTCGTCACAACTTAGATCAGCGCCGGCGACAGCTGCCACGAATTTCTTCCTGGAAGTATGAACTGTGATCAAGAACGTCTCAGAGCTGTTGACATTTGCTGACAACCTTCTTTAATTACCACACGCACGCTCCTTATCATACACATCTCTTCGAAAACGAAAAATCCCCGTCCTCCGCAAAAAGTCGCGCACGAGGCACTTGAAAGTTACCCGGGATGACCCCAGTAATTAGTGTCCGATTCACCTGTGGAATATTGTTGTGGATGCATTTCATTAAGATTGCATTAATTTTTTGCCCCATGGTAAACTCCGAAGATCTTTGATCCTCCTCAACTTATTGGAAAATCGGTTCTCATTTAATTTAAATAGAAAGGAGCAATTCTGGAAAAGAAATATGCCAGTCCTTGATACGGTATGCCAAAGCTTCTTCTAAACGTGTTTCGAACTCTCAACTCTTTAAGTGATCAATATAATGACAAATCATCGGCGTGTCAAATTCAAACTACTGGGGAAAAGTTCCGTTTAATACACCTGTTGTATAGCACAATGAATAAACAAATGAGTTAGCCAAATAGATACTTCCAACTGCTATCTTCTGTCAGGCCATTTCTTCATTTCACGCCTGCATTTTCTGATGCTCCCTTCGGGTTTACATCTTATAAATAAATGCTTTCTATGGGGACTTGCAAAACTTGAGGACGTATGTATGTGGAAACATTTTTCTTGACATTAAGATGCACAATGTGGTGGTGGAGTGGTCGTGACTGGTGAATGGCAATCCATCGAATCGCCAGGGTACTCTGATGACGGTTACTACCCAGACCAGAAGTGCAGCTGGTTCTTCGTGGTACTCTTTCTATTCCTTCATTTTTTCCCTTGTTTGCTGCACTGGCACCAAGTCATTAAGAGAACTTGGCTGTGCACCCATGTCGTTGATGAGTTCTCTGCGAGTGCATACGATTTTCATCCTTTGAACGAAGCAAAAGGCCATCCAGAACTCAGCGGTTTTTTTTACCGTAGCCATAATTCTACCAGGAGACGGACACACTAGCTTCAACTCCCATGAAAGGAATTTTCTCCTCCGCAGTGAAAGAAGCAATTAAACTTTTAGGCACCTGAAAGAAAACGAATCGAGTTCAAATTCCTGGGAGACTTCTCTTTTTTGTGCACCTCCACATGTATCGATTACGTTGAAATGAAGATCTCGACTGACTTCAGGAATACAGGTTTCAGGTGCAAAACCAATTTCCGTCTCTCTCTCGATGAAATATTTAAAATATTTGCCATAATTCGCATTGGTTTCAATGCGTAAACTATCGAAAGTAGCAATCATCCAACCTTAGTGGACAAAATTTTGCCAACAATACAAAAAATTTTCGGATCTTACTGCAGTGACATTCCGCTTTTCTTCTGCACACAACTCCTGTGCAAGTTTTTATTCGAGCATCATGTTCCAGTGACGTTTGTGTCTGCCCGGCTTGTACTGGATAATATAAAAATTTAGATTTTGTCCCTAACCCTTAATAAACCTTAGTTTTAAGCAATTTTAGGAAAAAAGAAGTTATTTTTAAAAAAGCCATAATAGGTCCACACTCTTCCTACAAGTCTACCATATCCTAAATTCCTCAATTACCCTAGCTGTGGAAAAATTACTAGTACTCGAAAAACCAGCTTCAGACGATACGTGTTAGCACCGGCATGAAGCACCAATAAGAACGGCTAAAACTTTTGTTTTACCAAATGCTCCAAGATTACAAGACTGAAATGTGTAGTCTTCATTTTGTATAACCACACCTATTAGAAGAAAACCACCATGGTTGAAAAGATTCCAAAAGCTGACAAACTTGCTTGCTACACAATATGTTTCATCCGTAAATCATCGATTTGACCGTGACCGCAATGAGGAAGGGCAACTTTTCGAAGGTATTCACAAATTCCGTCCGTTTTGCAACGACATAGATTTCCGTCGTTCATCAAATGGGGCAGAGAGGGTTACCGCCATTCTAAAGAATTTCAGTACGTCATAGTGGAAATCGATATCACATGAGCTGATTGTGGATGACGAAAGTAACTTAAGAAAACGCGGCATTTCCATCGCTGTCAGTACCATCGACGAACTGTTTTCAAACACGTGCTTTCAGCAGGATGTTGTAACGCCTTGAAGACCACTTTAAGATCTCTCGATGAAACCGCTAATAATTTTTCACTGAATTCTCGGACAAGTCCAGTAGAAAATTCTTCCGGACCCCGGGGAAGATGGGATAGGTGGGCCCGGAGCTGGATTAAACGTGCACCGTGCTCGTGATCACCGGTAGCACTACCACTGTGCTATCCGCACCGTTTCGTGTAAGATGAGTTCCCTAAATTTTGAAGGGTGGCAATGGGATAAATGATGATATTCTTTGTTCACCTAATATTTAAATCTGATTGTCATGATCTTTTTTTAAACAAAGGTTCCCTTTTCACCACAGGTTTTGCTGCTCAACCGTTCCGCAAAGTTCATTCGTATCGGAAACCAATAAAGCAATCGTAATCTTTCGCTCGCAGTTAGCAAACGACATCGGCTTCAAGCTACAAGTGAGAGCAAGTGGGTTCCTTGACCATCCAAACGTTATGCTTTAACTATCCACGCACTTTGCAGCCGATCTGCCAGCCAGAACCACACCCGTTCCGGTGATCGCGACGACAACAGGTTTAAGATTTTAACCGTTTCCCAATACTGAATATTATCTTTCTAGTATCTACGTCCAGTTGTCTCGACAACGATATCCGGCACGAATTTGTGGGGCGAGTGGGGTCCGTGGTCGGTATGCTCGCGCACGTGTGGCGGATGTGGCATCATGTCGAGGATTAGAACCTGTTACACTAAGGAATGCAAGTGAGTTCACAACCTAGCACGACAGTGAATCGGGTAGGGTTCAATCACAGAAATACAAAGTGAAAGTAAAGACTGGAACGAAGATCTCACAAGGGAAACAATGCCGATGACCGTCGTGACGATAATCCGCTTACATTCATCATCTCATCTAAGAATAGGAGTACCCAATTCTCCTCCACTACTAATTTCGACTTACTTTTTTCGGCTACACTTTTCTTCCTGTAGTTACCAGCTGTTTACTGATGGATTTTTTGTTTGTTTGTTTTTTTGTTTCACGTCAGGTCCATATTCTTTTGGTTTTTTATAGCCTAGGAAGCTCGCAAGCTCGCTCTTCCAGAGATTGCCGTTTTCATACACACATACAATCTACAGTTGCCACAACATCGAGCTTTTTCACAAGATAATTGTGGAGTGTAATAGAGAAATCCAGAGCCGATCTTCATCTTATGACTGCTTTATGGGAATGAACCACTAAAATCGGTGAATGGTATTTGCGTCTTTATACGGCGAACACAGAACATTTGTTTACGAGAACATGGTTGAAGAGATCGCAATCTTCCTGATTTTATCCAAACGAAAATTATGGTGGGATGGAAAATCACAGATAGAAGACTGGTCGCTTTTTGTTGAAAAGAGTCGAACAAAGGAGTCTTACTCAGGTTCGCTCTATCAGAAGTGGTTGCTCCTATAGATTCCCCTTTCTTCCTGCTCAACAGTTCTTCAATTTAAATGCTCATTAGAATAAAACTTTTGAATAAGAGAGACAAATGGGACAAGAAAAAGCAATAACACTGGCTCGACAGAGAGCTAAGAACAGCAAAAGTAGAGTAATCCTAGGAAAAGGCAATTCTTGTGGAATTCGCGTTCCGGAAAGCCATTCACATTTCCATCCAATGCTGAACTTCCATTTAAAAAGAGGTTGAAGCAAAAGCAGCCACGGTTTCTAACACCATTAATGATATGAGTACATCTTATAATAAATATTCATTCCCTACTTTATTGGTAGGCGCGTGTGGCACAGTGATTGGAGGCGCCCTGCAACACACGTGGAACCGATCTCCGCACCCATGGCCCACCAAGCCTTTCGTTCCTCCGGGATAGGCAAATTTAGCACCAGACTTGTCTGAGAACATAGCAGCACTGGTTCGACACATCGGTTAGCCACTGCGAGTCACTGTAAAGGCCAGATATGCATTCGATCACCTCCAAACACTTAATGAAGTCGAATGCATGGCGCATCTCCCAGGGATTGATCAACACCGACAGCTTTATTCATTTTTTTTATTTTACGTTGCTGCTGTGCTGCAGACTTTCAAAACATATTTCTTGTTTGAGTATTTACGATGTAATATTTTTCCCAGCAAACAATTTGACTTAAAGCTTGTTGAAGTGATGGTCACAAGATAAAGAAACGTGCCATTTTACTTCATCAGTCCAGTTTTTGGGCACACAGCCATGGAAGAAATCCAAAATGCCATTGAAGCATAAGAGTGTGGAGATCGTGTGGGGAGTTTCGCACCGAAGATATGAATTTCTATCATGAAAATGATGGTGGGCTTCCATCTAGAGTCGATGACGACCACCTGAAGGCGATAAACGAAGTTACTCCTCAAGAAACTGCTTGATGGATTGTAGAAATAAGCAATATTCACACTCAGCAAACGTTCATCAGTGGAAGACATCGAAATAGTGAAAAAGCTTGATAAGTGGGTGCCACGTGAACTGGAAGAATGACAGCAAGATCGTCGCCACGAACCCTACCCGCCGCTCATGCAACAAAAACGGCCCGTCTCTCAATCGATGCATGACGTATGATAAAAAGTGAATCCTACGTAACAGTTGGCGACGTTCAGCAGAAAAGTTGGAGTGATGGCTGAAATTAGTCTCCTAAACATTTTCTGAACTTTATGCATCAAATGATGGTAATGAAGATTTTTCATTTTCGGAAGAACCTGTGACCTAATCCTCTTCACTCTGCTTGACCACAAGTTGAACAATCAATACTGTAGGAGAAGAGCTATAAGCTACAGAATTCAGCCCCAACCACCACTATCGAGTTCTACAACCAAACCACAGCTGAAACATCCTCGAGCAATTCGTTGCTTACTCTCTTCGAAGCCACTGAAAGAAGCGACCTAAAATCTCTCACAAACCTAAAAGAATGCGATGCAGTGAGAATTAAAATCCGAAAATAATTCTAATGGTGTTTAAATTGTTGAGGTTACACTGGCTTGATAAATAACTTTTATTCGGCTAACTTCTCGACATCTCTTCTTCATCAGAGCCGATGATCCAAATCTATGATCCACAGTTGTTCGTCTTCTCGATGTGGCGCCTTCATCTTCGGTATCGAGTCGTATCTTTCTCAGTAGAGCATTTCTCGAATGAGGCGTACCCACCCGGCAACGCTCTTTTATACAGGATGCTAGTTGCTGATAATAGTGATTCTACAGTAGTGACGACTGGTGATCCTAATGGTTCCTAACACTATTAATAGTGAGTTTGAGCTGAGTTACATTTAACAGGATAGTTGGATGACATGTTTTCACTAATTATGCGGGCTGCAGCATAATTTCCATTCGTTGGAGATTTGCTGGTTCTCTGGAATCATGAGGTTAACATAGCCGAAGCCTTCCTCAAGTCGTCACCACCACAGGCAGTCGCCGCCCTTGTGGATCAGAGTAAGATTTCCAACCATGCGACTACTTTGATAACGGGGCAGTGGTGATTCTTGGTATCGGTTTACTTTTATCTGGGCTTCCGAATGGAAACGTTGAACTTCAGCCTGGGAAGTCCTATTGTGGGATGAACCTCCGCTGCACATCGTGGCCCGATACCCAGGAACACCTCTCGGCCCTTGAGCTGAGTTATAGCATTCTAAATCTGCCGATCGAAATCCCCTATTATTTCTGCAATAATCTATTATTCAGTTCTGTTACTTTTGGAATTTCATCGAGTTTTCCATCATCGCCGTTTCTAATGGACTTTCTGCTCATGAAACTTTGCATTATTGAAATAATTCATTAACAGTAGGCATTTCAACTAACGCTACTCAACAGTTTTTAAAATACAAAACCTCCTACGAGTAAATAAATGATTAAAACCACCAAACATGAAGACATTGTCATCATCAGTTGCTAACTATTGACTAGTATGAAAAACAGACACGCGTCAAAACAGATGCTTCTTTATCACATTCGTGCCGGTATGAATCATATATCACTCAAACGTGTTAGAGAAATATGGGCGGTACCAGCCATGTAGAACTCACGATGCGCGGCAAAATATTAGTTGTTGCACTACATTACCGCTAAAAAAGACTAAAAATCGTTGCAAATCCGTCGAAAAATTGGGAAGAGATCTAGAATGAACACAGGATCCTATTTGCTATTTGCGATCTTCTCCCATTGGGAGCACTTTCAGTCTTCCAATTTAATGTGTAAATCTCCGTTTAAAATTGAGCGAATGGCTTCGAGGTAAGACAATAAAGTACAACGGTTGCTAAGAAGTAAGAGTCACAAAGTAAGCTCAACAAGAAGTTGCTGTTTGCAGAGGTCAGCGACAGCAGTTCAGCACGTGCAACTTGACGGCGTGTCCGATCGACAAGCACTGCGCCAAGCTGCTCTCCATCGACCGCCTCTGCCACGGAAACGTCTGCACCAAGTAGGTGACCCCATGACACAGAAACAAACGAAAAGCAGGCACAGCGACGTTTAGGCTCCGAAAAACCAATCACTATGTCCACCATTAAGAATAATCCGTTCTGTTCGAAAACAAAGAGTAACTGTATCATAGGATGGCGGATTCAAGTCATGCTCAGATTGGGAATTATGGATTCCTTATAAATCTCTCCAATTTTTTATTCGGTGGCTCATCGAGCTACTCACGTTCTTATAAAATCATTTCCTTTTTTCTTTAGTGTACAATATCTAGGCTCGTCATCATTATCTTTGAGCATAGACGACGAATGCTTTGATTCCAGAATGGAAGATCGGAATTTAGGCATAGAAAGATAAATTGTGACCTCTTATCAGTTTTTTAGCGCCGTAGAGATCCCTTCGGGGTGTCTCCGACCGCAATGCTGCCCTCCTTTCACTAATGTTGACGGCACGTGTCAAAGCGATTCAACGCTCCTCGACGATTTCTTCTCGACGAAAAAGTAGGACTATATGATTCTCTGGATGCTCGCCTCCGTTCAGGTTTGTCAAGAAGGAAAAACCTTTTAAAGATCTGTAGAAAACGATATTTCCTCGATGGGAAATGGCTCGTCCATAAATTGGAAGACTCGCGAACCTGATTTTCTTATTGCCAGATCATGCCCGTTGAATCTGTGAATGGCATGACAGGAGTCCGCATCAACAAGAACGACAGCAGTCGATCATTGTTTCGTCTTCAACTAGCGCAATCAATGGATTCCCTAGAAGTTTTGTTCACTATAAACACAACGCCCGATGGTGGTTTTCGACAAATCTCAGCCTTAGAGTACTTGTGTAGTTGGGAACACCACACGTTTAAATGGGAGAACTTGCTCTATCACCTTATGCATATGTAGCCTTTACAAAGCACTCTTCCAACCTTAGACATATTTAGCATTGAGAACCTCATACTGCTGAGAACGAAATTCAAATTCTTGGATATCCCAACACAGGCTAATCAATGGCAAATACCAATTGGAGAACGGTTTCCCGTCTTCCCGGATGTCCCTCTTTTTCACCTGCTTTCTTGTTTAAAAATGGGATCACTGACCCAAAAAAGGTGGAAGGAATAAGCGTTATGTGCTCCATGAGCTGAAATTTCATCTTGGTTGAATAAGACAATTAGTACCTTGCGTGCAAAACCTTTTGAATCTAGTCATTCTCATTTCGATTATCAAAGCTGACCGTAAGATAAGAGATGTTGGTTAGAAGTCTACAGAAGCAATTGTCTTATCAAGCGCATTGAACTCAATGCATTCGGGCGTTGTGTTAAATGATACCCTTAAACAAATGACCTGATCAAGTCACCACATGCAAAGTGCTGTATAACATGTTAACCTTCTATTTGCTGCCTACTATACTTTTTCATGGCAGAGGATGTCGTGAACTACAACCACAACGATGCTGTGAGATATAAATAAAACTACTTGTATGTGAGCATCCGGAAAGGGTAATCGCGGTTCAACCTGGATTGGTGTCTAAGTTTTGCGAATATCTCAGCATCATTGTGGCTCCACAGTCTTTACAAAAAAAAGGATTATGGTACTTGTAAGTTGATTTCTACTTACTGTTTCACCCAAATTCACTAACAACGATAAAATACACAGCACAAGCAAATTCTGTTATGTTATAAAAAGTTTCTCACTTCAATTTTATTCAATTTACACTTCGAATCATTGTTATTATACTGATTACGTTCCTGCTGTTCTGCTACCGAATAAACATGTTTTCTTAGAGATGTTCGGTAGAATCTTCTGAGAATCTCATCTTAATTGGAATTATGCAACATATTATGAAAAAGTGAACGAATAACTCCGTAAGGCTATAAATGTAAAGAATGTAACGTTTTAATTACTCACATCGGATGCGATAGGGCGAAACTAGGCTACAACAAGACGATGACTATCACGTGAAATATGGACAATCTCACAGAGAGCTACATAGCTACCTACTACCACTACATGAGGTCACTTTATGTAGAACGAAGTAGTGATAAACGAAATATAAGTATGAAAGGCAATATATCAATTAAATTGATAGTAATAAACTTAATATAGTACAAAATACTTCCGTCCCTTGTGGGACGCACCATGACTCTAGCAATGAGATGGGAAGGAGGAATGACACATTGAAAGCTTAGACCTACTAACATTCATAGAGGTACATATTCCTCTATAAAAATCATCTATTGAATGTTGGTAACTTATCAAAGGAGTATCCAGGACGTCCACAAATGGTACACATAATGTAATAAACATGGTAGGATCCAGGAACGAAGCAAAGAAAGCCAGCAAAAAGAAACACCCAGCCTTGTGGACCTAAAAAAAACTTTCAATAGTCTGTGTGCTGTAAACGTTAGCTAACTTGGATCAAATGGAACGAAAAAAAGTTGAGAAGGGCAAATCTGAATTTTAAAAACCGAAACATCATGTGCTGACCAGGTAATGAAAGGCGATCCGAATTATTCTGTGTCCAAAGTGTCCAAACTGTTGCAACCTATAGTTTTAGCAACCGTTACGAATTACTGAGAGAGGGTTGAAGGGAGAAGCGCAGTGGTTAGTGATGCCATCCATCAGGAACCAAAGGCGCTAGTTCGAACCCTTCCCCAATGTTCTCCTACAAACCATGTGGGAACGTCTTAGTTCGGCTATCTCCAAGATTACAAGGAATGGACTCGACCAGCATTCCACAACGTTCATAAAAAGACGACATCCCAGGGCAGTGGCTGAAAAGACGAACGAAATGTTCAAAAAACACTGTTGACGATGAATGCCAGGAGAGGGGTCGTACGCAAAAAGAGCTGCGATCTGCACAGCAGAAGTGATGACAGGTCATGTAAAATTTAAAAAAAATGTGTGGCCTATTACTACTAACAAAAAACGAACAACGACAAATTTTAAACGTAAGCCACAGTACAGAGTCAGCTGCATAACAGATTTCCTTCTTAAAAGAAATGTTTCACCGATTTTTGGTATTTAGCCAGAAAGTGCACAAGGAAAGGGGTCTCGGTCTCAACGAAGGTTGAAAAACCATGAATGAGAGAACTGATGGCATTTTACAAGTACTTACCCAACAAAAAAAGAACAAACAAACTTAATCAAAAACCAAAAAATACCAAAGAAAACCTACCTTATTTATGTGTACCTAAGCGAGCACCTAGGATGAAAAGCCACAGAAGATAACGAAACTTAAGAAATATAAGAAAACCACTCCATAAACGATGTTTCGAACTGCAGCACAATTCTTTGCTGTACTTTTTTGGACCGTTACAATAAAAGTCCCGCGTTTCAACGCGTAGCCGATTCCTTTCCAGCCGCTAAGGACTGAGATGACGATGAAAACTTTGCGTGTCGTCAGTTCAATAAAGCGTTTTCGCAATGAAGGATAAGTTAAACGCTTTGGTCTACACTATGCCATTGCCCAATACCCTTATATTTCGTAAGACACTATAGACAACTCATGCACTTTCCTATCAAATAAGTAGGTTTTTAACCTAACTATAAAATGAGCAGGGAGGAGGTGGTGCAGTGTTAGTGGTACCCTCCACTACGTTGACGGTGCAACACACCCAGGCGCCGGTTCGACGCCGCATGGGGCTAATTAGCTTCAACGTTCCGAGGGCGAAAAAGTAGCACCAAACTAGTGTAGGTCAAGTTTAAAGTGTAATGAAATGGGAGAAAAATGCAGATTCGAAAAGAAAAACGATAGAATTTGTTTGGCATGAATTTTGCTAAGGATGATCCAAAATGAAATTTCTTTCAATTATTCTTCTAGCCAATGCTATTACAAAATTACGAACACTTTGCACACCATGACAAGTGCCACCCACAAAGGTCCCTATGGAAGAATGAGGATCGTTATGTGCACGAAACGAGTTCCAGCTATGATTAAACCCAGAGGATTAGTACTATTTCATAAACGAGGACAAACTGAAATAACGTAATAGCAAAACTTACCTTCATCGGGACGAAACATCACGACGATTCCGACGACTAGAAGGACTGAAAAATCGCATACATGTCATGTCAATTATTAAACATGCAGAACACCACTATTCTTTCCCATTTCCCAGCCTTTCAAAAAGAATTACCCATGTGGAAAAAAGCTTGCTCGCAACTCACTCGTTCCAACTACAGTAAGAACTATAGATCCTAGTATCACCTTGACATTTGAACGAATATGAGGATCATGACAGAGACCTCTGAAACTTCGATAGATTATGCAAAGGCAGGAACGTAACGAGAGGATTAGATTACTTCTGCAACCCCGTTAATATAACGAAACACCATGAACGGAACATGCCAAATGTCTACGAATTAACGAAAACGACAAGTGGAAAACGCACTTAGGCTTATTATTTTGTGGTCGAGACTGTGCTGCCGTAATATGCGTTGGACTTCCTCCAGGAAAAACTACAGTTCTTCCACGTTCTGCATCATCTTCGTCTCCAGATTCATTAGGTTCTACTATCAACTAAAAGTCAAACGCATCAATTAACTTGAAGGAAAGATAGTGCTTCTGCATAAAACAACAATACAACCATTTTTTAAACCCAAAGATATAATGCTCACTTTTTATTTGCTGCCTACTACAATTTTTCAGGGCCGGGTATTACGTGAAATACAACCGTAATGATGCTGAGGTATTGGCAAAACGCCGGATCGCAGGTGTCCAAGCTGTTACCTTTACCAGGAGTTTTCACCACCACATCATGTGAATACTTCTTTTCGCCTACCTCTCAACTAGTTTTCCATCTACCAGTGTCATCAGCAATCACTCGACAGCGGAATTAATCTAGGGAGCACAAATTCGGATTTAACCCTGTTAAGCTTGGGCTGCAGTTGAAATCACGATGTTAATTTTTCATTTGCTGTCTACCACAGTTTTTCACGGCAGGCTATTATGTGAAAAACAATTGAGACAGGCGAAACGAGGGACCCAAATTGTGTGGTGGTGAACGCGCTAGCTCCCGAAAAGTGTACTAGCGTGTTCGATCCCCAGCGTAGACACCTGCGGTCCGGAGCTTGGCAAATACATCAGCATCATTATGGTTGTATTTCCGAAGTTATTATCAGAAACATGGCGTGTGTGCCGCAGTGGTCGGAGGCGCCCTGCAACACAAACGTGGAATCGATCGCATCCCTAAGGGACTGTTCGACGCCAAGAGCTTTATCCTTTACTATTATTAGAAACATTCAGTGAAGGCACATTCCTTAGATAATAAACAGTAAACAATGCAACATGGGATAATGCTGAAATAAGGTAGGATCTTGTGGAAACAAAAGAAAATGAGAAGATCAGGACTTACATGTTGCCCTTGCGAGACATTACGATGATGGCCGGGAAGCGCTGGCATTCTGAAACGGTTGGGATTATCGTACTGTTTGTACTAAATGCAGAATATGTAGCCGGTTCGACGAAGCGTAGAGGAAAAAAACGCGGATGCATTTCTCTACAAAAGTTCAATAACAGTGACAGAAGTTTATGCTTTTTCGTCAAAAAACCAACTGGAAGACGAAGTAAGAGGAAAGTGAAGAGATTCGTCAGGTTGGGATTGTCCTAGAAAGGAATGATTCTGGTTCAGCATTCAGAAAACTCGAAAGAATATCACAACAGCAATTTCAACAAAGGGCCGTTTCTTAATAGAACGCTTGCATCGATGGAGAACAGCTGAAAAACAGACGACGTTAACCACCTGGAAGCCCAAATTGGGAAAATACTGCAAACCCAAAAAACGTAAATTCAACGGCTTTGCCATTACTAACTTCTTTCACGAACGATCCGAACACGAAATGAGCTTCGAAGTCAAAAGAACTCAAAACACCGACTTTCTATAAACCTCGGCATAAATACTCGATCATAACACTCGTAACAGCACGGCTCTAAGGAAGGCGAAATCGCCGAAACATCAGCCATCAAGCAACAAACAGCAACAACAACAACAACAACAACAACAACACCAATGTAGCATCAGCTCAATAAGATCAGTTCATAAAAACATATAAATAAGCGTGTTTGTAACTTCCTTGGACTAAAAACGACTGGAAGGAAAAGCAATGATGAGGATCGGAGCAATTATCCGAGACCGCAGGCAACGTTGGCAAACACCCAAGCAGCCGCGACAAGACCGCTCGCTGACGACGGAACTGGCTGCCATTGCTCTACGGCGCTACTGTCGACTCCGGAAATCGACTATGCCGGTGATGACCGGCACTCATGGACTGTTGTGCGTTTAACGAGTACCACGTGAGTACTAATACCGTGCCAAGTAAGTAACGATAGGCTCTGCTGAAGATGAAGACGAAGACGTCGAGATGTTAGCCGAATAGAAGTTGTTTATCAACCTCGTATCAACCAATTTAAAACAAGTTAAGCCAGAGTAGGCGTGTGGCTAACTCGTCAGTAGATTGCGAGTGGAAAGCGGAGACGAGGCGACCGGTGGCCTGTGATGGCGTGGACAACAACTGCCATGGCAGACGGATTTGTGATGGAGGATCCTTGTGATGCTCTTGGAAGAATGTTCGGTGGTCGAGAACATCCTTTTCTACGCTGGCTCTTTTTCAGCCTACAGATAAGAAAGCTTTCTAGGAAAACTCGCTTTGAGATCTTCACTGTGGAAACGCCTCCAGGAAAGTCATGAAGATCTATGGGAATGACGAGCTGAGGTTACGGCATAGTCAACTGTCTCAAAGTTCGCGATCTAGGAAAGTCACGAGAATCTATGGGAATAACGAGCTGAGGTTACGGTATAGCCAACTGCCTCAAAGATCGCGATTACTTTAGCAAAGGCTTCCTCAATGTTGCAGTCAAAGTGAAAGTAACTTTGCTAGTACTAGTTATTCAATAAGGCTTGTACGTTTGACGGGTTAGAAGGTGAAACGAAGAAAGAAAGAAAGAAAAAAAGAGGGCCAATATGTTTGGACAAGCATTGGTTTCGTCTCTACAACGAACAGCTTTCGTTTCTTGCTTGTTCACATTCACAGGATTTCGTCGTCCTTCTTGACGCAGGCCATTACCGTTTGTGTATTTCTTCTAGGAGTCCCGTTAAAGAACGCGGAGTCTGTCCAGGAAAGCGCCAAGGTCGACCATGCATGATCCAGTGCTATATAAAATGGTGTACTTGCTTCACGAAATTACATTTCAGTAAAAAAGTGATGGAACTCTCTACGACATACCTGGTAGATAATACACGTTTCAGTGCTAATGGAACGAACCTATGACCAAGGAATACCAAAGAACTCATTTGCGAATTCATTTGTTCGCTCATTCACAGAGTCTCGAGTATGATACTTCAGTTTCCCATCACGAAATGGAAAACCTGAGAAGGGAAGGTTTGCCGTCAACGATTGGACGCACTCACTGCCAGATCGACGTACATCACAACAACAATGAGCAGTACTGCGCAGTCAGTACGGCATTCCACTCGTATGTACATTGTCACTCGTTCGGCTCCTTCCGCTGAGACACCACACCTTTCATCGCTCTGGAAATGCTGGTAATCCATAAAGAAGAAGCGCCTATGAATGTTAGACAACCGAACGATTCATTGGCAATCCACCGTGGTCTACTGCCAAATCGCTGCTGGAGATTCTCACGAATGCGAATCTTTTCGAACATGAATTAGTCGGATAATATCATTGAGAGTTTTCTACCGTGCTGTATAAAAGGCCACAGGCGAGTGAAGTTCTACGTTCAAGCGATGCTCCCTCCACCGGGTTCGGCTCGATGCGACAGCAACCAGCTGTGGACCATCGACTCGGATCAACGCGACTCTGAGGAAGGCGAAGACGCCGAAACTTCAGCCGAATAGATCTTTTTATCAACCTTGTATTCGTTTTATAATCGAAGAGGGTACCAATGAGAGTGGTCAGTGAGTTAGTCTTCATCCTTTACTTTAGCTTTACATGATTTGTTACTTGATGACGAGGAATTCACTGAATTGGTTAATGCGGCTTTCAAAATGGTTCTGTAGCCATCGCTGCAGCATATGGTCGCCTACGAGTGCCTACGGTGATTAATAAGTGTCTCCGGGAGATCGCTGCGCAATATCCTCTGTGTTTCTGGGAAAAACTATATACTCTGAGCTCTGACATCTTTACATGAAGGTTAATTTAACAATCTGAACAAATCTGTCATGAAGTGCTTGCCGGAAATTTCTAATTTATCAAGTTGGATACTTTCGGTTGCCTTGCGACTGCCTGCTCCCTGGAGACGACGGGCTTCCTGAACAGTGACATTGCAAGGTTTGCGGTTTGCCTGCCATAATATATGCTTAGAACTATAATTTAAGAGAATGAAAACCTTAACGACCATAAAATATGTAGAAATCTGGAGGGAGAAAGAGTTGGCAAGAGCCATTCAAAAAAGGAGGTTTAGTTTTCCTTCGCATCTCCACGTGCTCCCAATCCAATACATCTCCTGCTTCATTCAGTCCACCATTTAAATTAACGGGTTACTGTGAATTCTTCTAGTTACAATTTACAATGAAGTTTTGCAATCCTAAGCAGTCCTTGAGCCTGGAACACTTTCTAGTCAATATATGATTGAAAGAACCTTTTTTTCCCAGGTTATGTGAAAGTTTTGGGTCCTATCTGGTTAAGTCAAGAAGGTCAGAAATCTTCATTAGTTGAAGTCTTCAGATTCGGACTTCACTGTTATCAGGGATTTAACAGTATTCATTTCTCCCAGTGATTTTTTCAAACATACGAGGTATGCTACGGCTAAAAGGTTGGGATTTGAATCAAAAGAGCCCAGTCTGAATTAAGCTCACTTTGCGAACACTAGGGAATCCTCTGTCGTCTTTTCTTGATGCTATATAGGTTTTATCGGGTGATTCCCGTCAACGGCAGGCGATATCTAGACAATTTCGTGCAGTCATGTAACCAAGTGTGCAATCGAACGCCCCGGTTGCAGCGACGGCGCAGTGTGTGCGATCCGCGGCGGCGTGCTGAACGTCGCTAGTTCGCGTTTGGTCCATGAAGAGGCTAACTACCGCCCCAGGCAGAGTGCTGGTGTTGATTGGTCTTCCTCTGAGACATTTTGACACCTGCATATGTAATCGTCATTCAGTCTAAGCTGTAGTAGAATCGAAATGATCCGCTTCACTATGTGAATTTGCTGTAAAGTTGCTGGCACATATTGATGGCAGAGTACAAGTTACTCATTGTTCGGTTTCTCACACGTTGTCAATTTACCATTATGCTAATGTATTCACATGCAAATGTTTCATAGATTTTCGCTTAGTCATGCAATCTTTACCAAAGTCTCCTACCCTCCCTTTCTCTCCCTCTTTCTTTCTTACTCGTTCTCTTTCTCTTTCTCTACCTCCTTCTCTCTCTCTCTTTCTCCTTTTCTCTCTCTCTCTCTCTGTCTTTCACGAACTTGTTCTTGAGCATTTATAATTCTTAATCTAGTTATAAAATAAACCAGGCCTTATTTTTAATTGCTGAAATGGTTTATAAGGAAACATACGGGATAAGTCGAAGGATCACTAGATAATAATACAAAGGTGAAAATGGTTCCAAATCCGCGACTACGCATTGAAGTCAGTGCGCTTGCTCATAGATCTCTAAATTATGCCGTACCGTCAATTTGCACAGTACGTCTACAGAACAATAAGAAGTGGAATTTTTTCATAACGCTCTGTTATCATGCTTTTCAGCTGTTGACATCTCTGTGTCACTGGAAAAAACGTCAATCAATGAGTAATTCTAATATACGCAACTCTTGTAATTTTCAGCAAAACATTAGGATGGAAAGGCGGCCACAATCTCCTGACCTCAAAAAAGCGAAATTAGGTCTTTATCGAATGTGATGGGATTGGTGTCGAACTCATTCAAGACGGCTGCTCCCATAAAAGCTCTGGGCACCGCAGAAACACCTGCTCAATGTAGAAAGGCCCTTACGGATAAAGACTCTATATAACAACTTTACAACGAGGATTTCAACATTCTATTATGATAATGACATGAGTGTGAAGATATGGACTCGAGAAGCGACAGCATATCATCGAGACTTCGACAACGACTTCGACAGTGTTCATGAAAAATTGACTTTGCTTTTATCTCATGGAATGATATTCATGAGATTACATCTTTTCCCAGTGCCCATGATTCACACTTCAAAAAAATTATCTGCCAACACCCAGTGATCCGCATGATAAAATCAACATGGTGAACAATTTAGCTTCAGAACGATGAGCAAGCGGACTTGGGGAACTTACAAGAACATCGAGAATTCTTGAATAGAACAGAGGAAAAATGACTTCATTCCCCAGGTATTCTATTCCACGAGTCTTCCTGCGCTAATGTATGCACAGGAAACAAGGGCGATGACTAAGTAGTATGAAAGCAACTCAATCTTAACGACACAATGCCAAATTTCAAAGTGGTAATTCGAAGTTGGAACTACCCTAAGGCTAAAGATCATATGCGCTGTCACGAATGCTGAAATATCGAAAATCTGATTGATTGGACAGACTTTGCTTCTTAACCATCATCGATGAACTAGGGGGGTTTGCCATTGTGTTCTGCCAAATGAGTAGTGAACAATGCGAAAAAAAACTAATGTTCGGAATTCTTCACGATAGTCCTGTAAAGAAATCATGACCTTCCTCATGTTGACCAAGAAGAACACATTGGACAATTCTGTTATGCCACAGGGACGGGTGAACAATCTCCTGATTCTCGAGGGAGTCTCTCCGAAAACCAGTAAGAGTGTAGGTTAAAGGTGAGATTTGGATGCTAAGCAGTCGGCTAGATAGCACTTTGTTTTACCATTTTATTTTCTGCCTACTACAATTTCACGCAGGGTACTAAGCGAAATACAACCACAACGTTGCTGAGATATTTGCAAAACTCTGGACCGCAGGTGTCTATGGTGGGGAACGAACGCGCTGTCTTTTCCGGGGAATAACGCGTTCACCACGACACCATGCGGATCCTTCGTTTCACGTGTCTCTCAGCTAGTTCTATCGACCTTTTGCCATCAGCAATCACCCGCCAACGGGATTGATCTGGGGAGCTCAGCTTAACTGGGTTCTACGCCGGTTCCGGCGCCTCAGATCAATCCCATTGACGGGTGATTGCTGATGGCAAAAGATCGATAGAACTAGCTGAGAGACACGCGAAACGAAAGACCTGCATGGCGTGGTGGTGAAAGCGCCAATCTCCGGAAAGGACAATAGCGCGTTCGTTCTCCAGCATAGACGCCTGCGGTCCAGAGTTTTGCAAATATCTCAGCAACGTTGTGGTTGTAGAAAGCACTTTGTTCCTCAACGTTTTTGCCCAACCTCTTCTACCACTGGAAAATAAATGATAAAAGAAGTGCTATTTTCAAAGAAAAATACGATAGCGTCAGTAGAAGCGATTTGTGATACTGAAATATGCCGAAGTGCAACAGATGTATGGGGGATAGGTTACCCCTTTTTTTCCCCTGCTTCTTTTGCCGTAAAACTTCTTCTGCGGTATCTTTTATCTTTCTCTTTCTTCGTTGTGCCCTTTTGGACAAAAGCAATTTTTTCAACTGAGTCGACATTGCACACTGTGCAGTTCCTCTAAGTTTTTGGATTCGAGTCATTTCTCCGTGTTTCAGCATCCACAAAGTTCTTTCGATTTTGCGCACGGATTCGGTTGTTCCTTAGAAATCTTCAGTGCTCTTCATGAATATCATTGAATATTGATCGAGTCGATGCTCCCCGGAATATTGATCTTTTGGTGGCTTCTTATAAGAATTAACACATTATATTCGTTTCACTGACATAGAACTGGTGTTTTCAAGAACATAGTCATATAAGGTGCAAGGACACTACCAATTTGAAGATATCTAGAGCAAACATGGATGTCAAACTCATCTGTAAAGGTTTTTTTTACATTTTTCCGTAGCAGATCTCACGACTTACTGTTGAATGACTAGGGAAAGGAGTGTTTAATGTAGCTAAGGTATGACCATTGTACGTACCACCCGGTAGTTTTGATGACCTACAGGACAGAAAACACGACACTGTCTTGCTGTTTGTGTGCGCAAACACTCTTGCCTGGCTGCGGGCTTCTTGTGGTTTTGATGGATTAGCGGAAAGGGTTGCGTGGAAAGGTAGCTGTGGTCACTATCACAATGTCCGTGTCATTTTTCCATTACAGCCGTCATACCGTCTTTACTCTGCTGAGGCTTCAGTTGCCCTCTCTTCAGCTTCTGCTGTAAGAACAACTCAGAAGTCTTTCCTTCTTTTTCAAACCCATGCCTCAGATAAAGTTCCTTTCAGAACAATATCTTAGTCAAAAAGACATTTGCATACCACTTATCGTTATTTAGATCTCCTCCATCTCACAAATCCTCAGCGAGCATCAATATTCATTTAGTTCCGCCCCAATTTTGGAGGTGTCCCTATCAGCATTAGTCCTTCAGGAATGTTCGCCTAGCTAGCAAGTCAAATAATTTGGCTGCATGTTTGTGCTTCTTGTATTGGGAACATCAGCATGATACGTCTACCCTAAAAAACACTAATGA